AAACGTCCGGAGCTCATTAATCGCAAAGGAGTTGTGTTCCACCATGACAACGCGAGACCGCACACAAGTTTGCTCACTCGTCAAAAGTTATTGGAGTTAGGATGGGATGTGTTACCACATCCAGCATACTCGCCTGATCTTGCCCCATCTGATTTTCATTTGTTTCGGTCGCTTCAAAATTCCTTGCGAGAAATACGCTTTACTTCAGATGAAGCTGTACATCAGCACCTTCAATTTTTTGCCGGTAAAGACAAATCCTTCTACGAGCGAGGAATTATGAAGCTGCCTGAAAGATGGCGAAAGGTCATCGATCAAAATGGGCAATACATTATTGATTGAAGTTTATGCTGTATATGAATAAAATGGCCTTAAAATAAACAAAAAAAAGCGTCATGACTTTTCCGACAACCCAAGTAACTTCCGGTGATATTGAGTTCTACAGAAGAACACTTATTAACGCAGTTGATATGGCTATACCCAGGCGCAATGACACTGAGGGTGATATCGAAAGTGATGTCGATGTTTATGAATAGACCCTTGTTTTGTTGTATTTTTTGGTTTTTGTGAAATGTGGTTTTCATCATAATTTAGAATTTTTTTTTGTGTCGATGTTATTTTTCGATAAATGGTATACAAGAATAATACTATTTTTGTTATGTAACACTGTAATAAAGTGAAATAAAAGTAATAATTTTCACGTTCTATATTTTTGTATTAATTTTTCGACCATAAAGTGCCTAAGTCCAAATTTTCAGATTTTTTTTCCTCGTAATCAAATCGCTAGTTCACATCATAGTGTAAGTCAGTATGTCCATTGAACATGTAGTTGACATGAAAAAAATTACTAGTCATTATCAATAAATTTTGTGGATGTGGGAGACTCTTTCAACATTCAAATGGTCATATCTCCAAACTTAAAAAATGTGACTTAGCCACTTTTTGCACTGACCCCTTCAATTGTTTACTTGCGCAAGCCAAAAAGTTTGGCTTGAGTAAAATCTGGATGGTCAGATAATTTGCATGTGGTTGGCACAAATGCATGAACGTGTAAACGACAAACCAATTCGACGCATGCGTAGTGGGTAAATAATAGTAAACAGGCTTTAATTTTCGGCTGTTGTACGGTATTTTGTTGTGATAAATAATGTCCAAGAAAGAAAAAGAGTTCATAGTAGAGTTTATTGAGCTCTATAAATCTTTTCCTTGTCTGTGGAAGGTGAAATCAAAACAATACAGCGACAGAAATGCTAAGTCTCAGGCGTATGATATTCTTGTGGAAAAAATGTGCACATTTGAAGAGAGTGCAAATCGAGAAACTGTAGTAAAGAAAATAAATTCTTTAAGAACGACGTACAGGAAAGAATTAAAAAAGTTCTAGATTCTGAGAGGTCCGGTGTAGGCACCGACGATGTATACGTTCCACATTTGTGGAGTTACTCAGCTTTTTACGGGACCAGGAAAGTCCAAGAACCACTGTGTCAAATATGGACGACGACAATGAAACGCAGGTAAATTTGTGTTTATTTATTCACCTAATAATTGATTAATACATTTAGTGGTGGATCCACGGGGGGGACGGGGGACTGAGAAAGAATCCCCTCAAAAAAGGTTTCCACAATGTATGACATCGAGGTAGCACTGGAAGAAGTATTGAAAAGATTTTCTAAAATGGGTAAACATTAGGGTGGGTCAAAAAATTTTTTTTTCGGTTTTGAAAAAGGCTCAGTAATAAAAAGGTGCCAAATGGTGCCGTTAGTTCATATGTAAAATTTTATTACATAATTCTGAGTTTTATTGCCTCCGGATTGTACTAAAGCATTGTGTGTACGTAAACTTCTAGCGTCTCCTCGGGCGTCACTTTACTAATTCTTTATGCATCTTCGATTATGGTTCCTGTTACTTTGGTTGCCTAAGCGTTAGTGTTAGCTACTGTTTGGTTGAGTTCAAGTAGCCAGGGAGAGGGAGGGGTAAGAGTGGGGGTGTTAGGTAAGACACACGGGTAAGACAAGTCGCGCACAGTTCATCGCAATCAGTATCTTGCGTTAGAAAGTGCGGACGTGTAAGTTTCGCTGTCAGAAAAATGGAACGTACTCGAAATAGTTGGAAGTGTCCGATATTTGGTGATTTAAATGACTTGAAAGACAACGTATTGCCAACCTATGGGGATGTAATGCGATTTTATGAGTGGACCCGACACAGGTTGAAATACGAGAGAGAAACAAATAAAGAGCCAACATATAAAGAAATAGAGGCCATTGTAGTTGCAAGACTGATAGAAATATGGGCAAAATCCTCTATCCCTACAGTTGAACCCAAACGAATGAAGGTAATGTTACAAACGTATCACTTAAAATGCAAAAATCTCCTCAAATCTAATCCAAGAATACCTAAAAACACGTTGGAAGGGTTTCGTCTTGGGAGTAAAGCCTTGTTTGATATTTCGGCTCGCAAGTGTCAAGAGTTTCTCAAATGTGCTTGCCCGAAAAACAGGAAAATACCTGCAAGAGAACGTGGCTTTATAACTGATCAACGAACCGCTAGGCAAATGGTGATAGGTGCCTTAGATGTTGTCACAACAACAAAAATTACAAAAACACTGAAAAGGAAGTCAATACGAGAAAATTCTAAGAGCAAACGACTGAAAAAAACCGAAACATGTACGGAAAAGCTGAGTAGCACTTCTGAATCCGAAAGTGTTCAGTCCGATGCTGAAGAACCAACACAAATCAAGTTGAGGACTTCAAGTGGTCAATCTAAGAGTGACACTAGACTTGATTATACTTTGCTATCAAAAACATGCGATAGATTCGGAGTGTCGGATAGGGCAGGAGCAGCTATCGCATCAGTTGTTCTACATGCGTCGGGTTCTCAAGTAATAGATAAAAATAAACTACGCCGAGAACGAAAAAAGGCCAGAGAAAATATAGTTTCACAGCAAACTGTTTCACAAATACACGCATTGTATTTTGACGGAAGAAAAGATCAGACTCTAATGATGTCTGAAATAGAAGGAAAAAACTATAGAAAACGCATAGTTGAAGAGCACATTTCTTTGATAAAAGAACCTTATTCGGAGTTTTTAGGCTATATTACACCTGCTTCAGGCACTGCAAAGTGTATAGCAAATGAAATATTTGACTTTTTCTTGAATGCTGATATATCCGTCGATGATTTAACTGCAATTGGATGTGATGGAACTAATGTGAATGTTGGCATATATGGCGGTATTATACGACTGCTAGAGAAACGGTTAGGTAGACCCTTACAATGGATTATTTGTTTATTCCATATGAATGAACTACCATTTAGACATCTGTTCCAACATATTGATGGTAGTACCTCTGGACCACGAACATTTTCAGGAACGATTGGCAAAGATCTCGAGAACTGCGAAAAAAGACCTATAAGCAAGTTTAAGCCTATTCCAACGAGCTTACCGGAGATTTCTGCTAAAGATATCAGTACTGACCAAAAATACTTGTACAGAATGGTTGAAGCAATCTCAACCGGTGTATTTCCTAGCGATTTGGCTAATAAATCACCAGGTAAAATGTCGCATGCGAGGTGGCTGACTCGTGCGAACAGGATCCTCCGTCTGTATGTTTCTGTAGAGATTCCGCCTGAAAGTCTAACTATTCTTGCAACGTATGTTATCAAGGTTTATGCTCCGATATGGTTTTCTATAAAATCTCATTCTAGCTGTAAAGATGGATCGCGACACTTTTTCAAACTCATCGAGTTATCCAGATATTTACCAGCAAATTTGAAATCTATCGTCGATCCAGTAATTCAAAGAAACAGCTATTTCGCACATCCGGAAAACGTATTGCTCGCAATGTTAACAGACTCTCAGCCGCACATTCGTGAATTAGCTGCTCGACGCATTTTGAAAGCTAGATCAGTAACAACTAAAGATTTGCGCATTTTTAAGTTACCACAGATTAACTTCAATGCATCAACGTATTATGATCTTTTGAATTGGCAAGAAGATATCTCTGAGCCACCATTATTGAAATCTGTAACCGAAAAATATCTCCGATTATTTATTGAACAGAAAGGAGAAAGAGACTTGGATTTCTTACGCCTTCCTTGTCACACACAAGCAGTAGAAAGAGCAGTCAAAGCTGTAACCGAGGCCTCAACCACTTTGTGCAATAAGCTAATGAGAGAGGGATTCATCAAAGCCCAGATGGACTCGAGAAAAGCAATGCCAAAATTTGATAGCAAAAAGGATTTCTCTACAAAATAAACCCCTCGCTCAATGATTATTCATTATTATTTTTGTTGTAAACATTATTTTCTGTTCAATAAACGTTTACTGACTATTCATTCAAGACATTTATTTGTAAATTATATTCATTAGTGTGACTTTGTATGCCACGCAGTTATACCTCCTTTAACCCCATCTTTGACAATTTCCACATGATTCCGGAGGCAGAAGATTAATTCTGATTGCAATCAAACTTCATAACATGTTCACACTCATGATTTAGCACCTTTTTGTCACTGAGCTTATGAAAAAAAGGAACATTTTTTTTTCACATATAAAAGTGACCCACCCTAGTAAACATCGTATAAATTTCAATGAATAAAATTGATGTTTATATTTACATTCAAAATAAAAATTATTTCTCTTGACGCATTATCACAAACATTACATTTTCGAATTGCATGCCACGAAACATTACCAGAATTATTGAAATAAATTTCAAAGCTTTGCTTCGGTACTTTGATGGCGATTGTGACTGCTTGCAAGATCTAACAAACTGTGGTTCTGTGTTCGCAGTCCCTGGGTAATGACACCAGTAGACCTATCTTCAACGTCAAATACGTCACTAGGTGTATATGAATTCACTGAATTTCTGCGTAGAAAATTGTGAAGCGCACAGCATGCCAAAACAACTTTGTCAATGTTATCAACTTTCAAATTAACACATGTATGGAATACTCTAAAACGATTATCCAGAATACCAAAAGTATTTTCTACTACTCGTCTAGCTCTACTCAAACGGTAGTTGAATACTTTTTTCTTGATAGTCCAGCTCTCTTTGATTATAAGGTTTTAAAAAATCGTGTCGCATTGCAAATGCTTCGTCTCCTACAAACACATAATTCAATGGTGGTTCACCGGGTACAACTGTCTCTGGTGCTGGCAAATTAAGTTTATTTGATGCCAAATACTTCATAAATTTGGTGTTTTCAATGACCCCTCCATCAGATACTCGACCGTTGGTTCCAAAATCACAGTATATGAACTCATAATTAGCATTTGCAATTCCCATTAGAACTATGCTGAAAGTTTTCTTATAATTAAAATAATATGATCCACTTCCTGCGGGAGCTGTAATTTGCACATGTCTGCCATCCACAGCGCCTAAACAATGTGGGAAATCCCATCTTTCTTGAAAATCCAGTGCAATTTTCTTCCATTCTTCTGTAGTTTTCGGAAACTGTAAAAAAATAATTCAAGTGCATAGCTACTAACTGTATCTTTTGTACATAATATGTGGTTGATTTACTAGTTTTTTTTTTAGAATTCTGAGACACATGAAGTTCAGTCCGAAGATACTTCGTTTCAACCCTCTGTTATATCTGAACCACTTACACCTCGGCCAATATCACAAGCATCATCTAGAGCAGCAAAAGGGCGTAACGACAAATGTGTTGAAGTCCTGGATGTAATTCAGAAACGCTTTACTACGCCTTCAGATGTTGACGACAAGTTTACGCTCATTGGAAAAGCATGGGCCTGCAAGTTAAAGGAACTTTCGCAAGAACAAGCAATTCACGCAGAGAAACTAATAAATGATATTTTCTATGCGGCGCAACTCGGAACTCTAAATCGTTATTGTACCTTGCATATATAACATCCATTATACAATCAACAAATACAACCGTGTTTACAACTAGGGTCATCATAAAATCATCAAATCACGCAATCTTTGCCGACGCCTCCTTTACAAACAGGACCATCCTCTCAGCACCAGATACAATCAAGTTCACAAATAGGATCGTATTATCAACATAAGCAACCAGCACACACTCAAAAACCTGCACAAGCTGACAGTGACTCGCAAACAGTCTCACAATATTTATCGAATTTTACCACTGATTAAAACATTGATCTAAAATAGCTTAAAGCATTGTTCTAAAATAGTTAATATACTTACTCTTAAATATTGTTGCTTTAATACACTGTAAATGGCAGCACAAGTTTCAGGAATCATATTACTGAGAGAGGATTTGGAAATACATGTAGAAAATTTGAGATCTTCATATGTTCTTCCCGTGGCTAAAAACCTCAAAGTTGCAGATAATCGTTCATGTGGTGTAATTGAACACTTCATAATAGTATCAGTCTTTTTTATTAACGGTGTAACTAAATCCAATAAATGTCTATAAGTTGCCTCGTCCATGCGCAGGTAGTTAAGAAAATCGTCAGGTTCATTTGTTAATTCTTTCATTAAATTAATATGAGAATAAGTGGCTCTTTTTTCAATCCAACTCTTCTGCGATCTTCTCTTTTTTTTTGTCTTTAGGCACTTTTAACTTTTTAATTAATTCGTCCTCGTAATCCATCTTCAGCTTTGCCCAACGACAATCTGAACTGTACTTTTTTAGACAAACTTGTGCACGATTCTGGGCCGGTAAACTGTACGTTATGCCAGCCATACACGTAACGATATACTTGCGCAAACTTAGACTTGCACAAGTATACTGTAGCGTGTGTTGGAAGATTTTTGCGCAAGTGTCTAGACTTGTACAAGTCGCAAGAACGTTGCAATTTTCGATTCCGAGACTTGTGCAAGTTTACGTTTGCGCAAGTGTACTTGAACGTGTGTGGCAACGAGCCTTCGCAGTTAGCGATGTCCTGTTGCTTGGTTGTACACACGCGTTGCGTTGTTCAGCGCCAAAATGAGTGAGACACGTGGAGTTCGAGAAAATTTGGAAGAATTTATAAATGTGTACAGAAATGAACCATGCCTCTGGCAAATAAAGAACAAACACTACCATAATAGAGATAAAAAAACCGCCGCTTATAACAAATTAGTAGAACTGTATAAGAAAATAGAACCAAGTGCCAACCGAGATATGATAGTTAAAAAAATTAATGGCTTACGCACCAACTGCCGTAAAGAAAAGAAGAAGATAGAAGAGTCTAGCCAATCTGGAGCAGGCACCAATGATGTTTATGTGCCAAAATTATGGTATTATGATTTACTGAAATTTCTCGATGACGACCAAGGAACGCCAGGATCTTCTCGTTCCAAAATCGTCGAAGATGATAGTTCTGAAGTACGTACACGAAATTAGCTATTATATTTTTATTTAATGTAAATAAATAAGTGAAAAAAACTGCATCACAGATGAAGAAAATCGACCTGATTCGACTAATGTAAAAATGATATTAGAAGAGAATCGATCCCTGAAGAAAACACTAGCAGAAAAGGAGGAAATAATTCGTCAGCTCAATACCGAAAATTTAAAACTAAAAGAGCAGCAACTGTCAATAACCGCAAGTATTACTGAGAAGGATGCCATAGCATCAGCATTAAATAGAATTAATATGAGACTCGACGAAGTTGAGAAAAACCAATTAGTAAAAGTAAATTCATACGCACAAATCTTAAAACAAACGACACCTATTACTAAAAGGCAATCACTGAAATGCATCACAGTTATTCCAAAAGAAAAACAATCTTGCGATAATACGAGAAGAGAATTGACTAAGAGAATAAATCTTTCATCTCTGAACATTCAAATAGAAAGTGTGAGAAACTCAAAAAATGGCGGAATTGATATAAAAATTGATGAATCAAACCATAATAAACTGAAAGATGAACTTCAAAATAAATTGAATGAAAAATACCAAGTTACTGAGCCAAAAATGTTAAATCCAAAAATTAAAATAATAAATTATAAAAGTAGTGAGAAACCGAATGAAAAGCAAATTGAAGAAGATCTTATACATCAGAATTATATGATTCAGAGTGGAGACATACAAGTAAAGTTTATCAAATATTTTCCATCAAGAAACAATTACACTATCTACGCGGAAACTTCTGGAAAGCTATTCAAAAAAATCTTCGAAGACAATAATAGAAGAATACTTCTGGGATGGCAATGTTTGACAGTATATCAAAATAACGACATTTCTCAGTGTAGAAAATGCTACCGTTTTAATCATACAGAAAAGAATTGCAGGAATGAGAAGATATGTGCCAACTGTGGCAACGGTCATGAAGAAGAAAATTGTAAGCATGTATCAATAGAATGCTGCAACTGTAGATATGGAAATGAAAGATATAAAAAAAATTATAATATTAACCACTCACCTACCGACAAAAACTGTCCATCGTACAAATATTATCAGGAACAACAAAACTTAAGCATACTTTTTTAAAATTCAAGTTCATCTTTTACTACTCCTATCTCTAAAGAGGACCTAAAAATGTCAGTAAATAAATACGTTAATGATTTCCAAATTCCAAGTATTGCAACAAATATAGCACAAAACGTCGATGAACTTAATTTATGTACACAAAATTCTGATGCAAAATTTCGAATTTTTAATATGAACATAAGGAGTATAAAACACAACATTGATTACTTAAAAATACTACTCGACCAAATATGGTACAATTTTGATCTAATAGTTTTAACTGAAACGTGGCAAGTGGCTGATATTTCTTGCTTTAATCAGCAGGGATATGACACGCTGTATAACTTTGGCACTTATAACCAAAACTATGGGGTGATAGTTTTTGTAAGAAATAAACTGCAATATAATCATGATACATTCACTTTCACCGATGGAATCAAAATTTTAAACATAATGATCCAAATTAACCATAACGAAATTGAGGTATCTGCAATTTATCGTCCGCCATGTTCAGAACCCCACGAGTTTTTAAAGAATATCGAATTTTTTTTTCAAAATCAAGATAAAGTTCATTTAAAGCAACATATTTTTTTGGGAGATGTCAATATAAATATTTTGGACGATGATCCCATCACAAATGAATACTTGAATATCCTATCAAGTAACGGATTTCTGTCCTATATAAACCTACCTACAAGGTCCATCAGTGGCACATGTATAGATCACTGCTTTGTGAAAGACCTATCCAAAAAAATTACTTGTATACCAATAATCCTAGAAAGCGATATTACTGAACACTTCTCCACTATTTTACTGATATCTTCAAATGAAAAACATTCTAACATCCCTACCGTTAGTAACAACCAGGAAAATTACAAATTTTTTGTCGACAATTCAAAACTAATATCAAATGTCAAACAAGAATCCTGGGAACAATTATACTCTATAAATAATATAGACAAAGCAACGGGACTGTTCATAGAGAAAATAAAAAACTAATAGATATTAGTACCAATAAAGCAATAATTAGTCACAAAGAGAAAAGCAGAAATGCCTGGATTACCAAAGGATTAATAACATCGGCAATAGAAAAAGAAAGACTATATAATGTAATGAAACTAACGCCAACTACAGAGAATACCGACTGCTACAACCAATATAAAAATAAATTTATAGAGCTTGTAAGGCAAACCAAACGAAAACATTACCTAAATAAATTGAATAATAACTTAAATGATCCTAAGCGGCTTTGGACAAGTATTGATGAGATTACTGGGAAAACAAAAGTTAAAAAGTGTGTCACTGAGTTAAATACAACATCGGGAACAGTATTAAAAAATACTCAACAGATATGCGATGAATTTGTACAATTCTTTACTGACATAGGCGAAAATTTAGCAAGTAATATACAAACAAATGTACAAAATACTCAGCCTCCAAAAAGAACTTTGAACTCATTTATTTTGGATAAAGTCGAGCAATGTGAAGTATACACCACTGTTATGTCCTTAAAAAATCGGAAAAGTCCTGGGTTCGATGGTATTAAAAGCGAGCATTTGAAAATTATAGCCGAGGACATAACAGAACCACTCACTTACCTAATCAACAAATGCTTTGAATCTGGCATATATCCCTCAATTCTAAAAAAAGGTAATATAATAAATACCGATACATAAATCAGGAACAAAAACAGATGTTAACAACTATAGACCAATATCAATAATATCCAGTGTAGCAAAGGTTTTTGAAAAAGTTTTATCTACTAGAATGATTCGATACCTCACAAAATTCAAAATTTTAAGTGAAAATCAATATGGATTTACAGAAGGGAAGGCTACATCGGACGCAATAACTAAAATTGTAAATCAAATACATCAAAATATTGATAACAGAATCCCTTCAATCTGCATTTTTGTTGATTTAAAGAAAGCTTTCGATACAGTTAATCACAAATTATTATTAGAAGCATTGGAGAGAATTGGTTTCAGAGGAAACGCGTACTCACTGATCGAAAGTTATTTGTCAAATCGCCCACAATCTGTGCAGATATCAGGATCATTTAGTAAAGAAATGTATATTAAGTGTGGGGTCCTACAGGGAACTGTCTTAAGTCCGCTGTTATTCAATATATATATTTAAATGATATTTTCCAAATTAATTGTGTTGGCAAAATAACTAGTTTTGCAGATGATACTGCAATATTATATGAAGGCACTGACTGGTCTGATCTGAAAAATGTAATTGAAAATGATTTTATCAAAATTATTCGGTGGTTTAACAGTAGAAAATTAAGCATTAACTACTCTAAAACACATTTTTTACCATTTGGATCTTATGCTAGACATCTGCCAAATTACACAAATTTCTCCTTCAATATTAATGATCAAAAAATGCAAATTAATAGAGTGCCCAACATAAAATACCTTGGAGTGGTCTTGGATCCTCACTTACGATGGGACATCCATGTCAATTATATTTTAAAGAAAGTTAGATTTGTATCCTACAAAATTAAATACCTTGGGAATATATTGACAGAAAAATATCTTCGAACATTATACCATGCACTGATTGAGCCTCATCTCACATATGGTATATTAGCATGGGGAGCTGCATGTTCCTCACATATCTATAATTTAGATGTTTTTCAAAAAAGTATTCTAAAAATGATATTTAAAAAACCGAAACTTTGTCCCACTGAAAAATTATACGCAGATGTTCGAATGTATGATATAAGACAGCTTTATTTCTTACACAGTATCATTCACTACCATAAATTTGTAAACACCGACCAAAAAATTAAACATAATCATTATACCAGGTACAAAATTCGTGGCACAGTAGTTCCTCAACCGCATAAATCTATAATGCAGCGATCATATCTCTATTTAGCGCCTAAATTTTATGAAATTATACCTAAAGACTTAAAAGATTTACGTTTCGGAAATTGTTTCAAAAGAAATTTAAAAAAGTGGCTACATTCTATATCTAGGACTGAAATTCATAAACTCATAAATACGAACATCAACTAAATACATAATCTACTGTAGCTAATTTTTGTCCTTTTTTGTCATTTGCATTCTACAGTTTCAACTTAAATTTATTGGTCCATGTACAGGCGATGCCTTCTATTGGGCCTGTTTTGATTTTATATTTATTTACTCATATTGTTTGTTATTTTTGTACATTGAGTGAATAAATATTATTATTATTATTATTATTATTTACAAGGTAACATTTCTCTGTGTGTTTAAGGAATAAAGTTATCTTGCCAAGGTACACTCCCCTCGTTATTAAAGTAATGTACATACTGTTCTCTAACATTTTTGGCAGCAGTTGCATTATTTCCATAGTTTCGTCGATATAATGGCTCCATGTTTGAACCATATGATGTTAAACCTGATGTAATAGTTCCATCTTCTAGGTTTTCGTGATCGAAACATTCTGCAGAACTATATGAATTCGATGACGACATTAAAAAGTTATGCAAAGCACAGCTTGCCATTACCACCTTATCAATGTTCTTGGGTTCTAGATTAATTTGAATTTTATATATCCGAAATCTAGAGGCCAAGATTCCAAATGCATTCTCTACAATGCGCCGCGCTCGAGATACTCGATAATTGTATATATTTCTTTCGCGAGAATTTAAATCTGCCTGTCGGTATGATTTTATCATATCTGTTCTCAAAACAAAAGCATCGTCGGCTACAAATACATAAGAAAGTATTTTGGAACTTCCTTTTATAGGTTCATCTGACGGGATACTTAATTGGTGTTTTTGAAGCTTGTCATAAAATTTAGTAGTCTGAAGCAGACCGCCGTCTAATATCCTGCCGTTAACACCAAAGCTGCACATTATAAATTGGTACCTAGCATCCACTATTGCAAGAAATACCATACTGTGTCGACCTTTATAATTATAAAAATAGGAGCCACTTCCACTTGGAGGAATAATGTCTATGTGTTTCCCGTCTATGGCGCCAAGGCAATGTGGAAAATTCCACCTATTTTCAAAATGTGTTGCTAGCAAAGAAAGTAAAATAACAATTATTGTTCCAGGAAACCATACAAGCTTCAATGAACAGCGATACTTTGCCATCACAAGATAGAGATGATAAATCTCCGGAAACAGCTAGTACCTCTACACAAATATCAAGTCGCCCTAGACCACCCAAAAGAAAAAGTAACAGTAATCCTCATTCATTAGATTCACCAGATTTATCTACCGACGTATTGCAAGTCGTAAAAGAGCATTTCAAGCGTCCTTTGTTACAGCAAAGGCTGATTGCTGAAAAAATTATAAACGACTCATTATTTCAAACAGAAATCGGCAACTTGAGACTGCCGCATGGAGAGTTCAATGTACGTGAGTTGTATCGCACAACTCCCAGTCCTCCAACATATCAGACACAACAGTTTATTCGTGCAACTCCAACTCCCAGTCATTCCGCACACCGGCCACAACAGTTCATTCGTGAAATCCCAACTCCAAGTCCTCCAATACACCACTCACAGCAGTTCATGTATTTAGGATCAACTCTATCTTCATTGCCACGCATCGAGCAAGAATGTAATGATTCTTCCACACCTTCCATGCAGTACAATTCGGATTCCCAACATTCGACTGAACATACTGAAGTGCAATTATCTATTCCAGAACAATCAGCCGGGGCATTAATATCCAGCTTCAATGATTGTCAATAAATGTTTAAGAATTAAAAACCTTTTACTCACCTTAAAATAATCCTGCCGCAGTACTTTGTATATCGCTTCACATGTTTCTGGAATAATAACACCCAACGCCTGGGGTGATATTATTGTTGTAAACTTTAGGTCTTCGCAACTCCTTCCAGTTGCGAGAAACCTCAGAGTTGTTGTCAATCTTTCGTGTGGCGATATAGCTTTTCGCATTACAGTATCTTGGTTTTTAATAAGTGGAGTAATCATCGATAGAAGCTTCAAGTATGTTTCTTCGTTCATACGCAGGTAGTTATGCCAGTCTTTGGGTGCAAATTTCAATTCGTTCACTAAATTGATGTGTGATGAATGTTCTCTTTTCATTAACCAGTCCTTACACCATATAGCTCGATGCCTTTTAGGTCTTTTCAGTTTTTTTGTAGCAACTATCAAGAGAACTATCGCCATAGCATCATCAATGGATGCCATCGTCGCAACACAAGTCGCCTGCTCCATGACTTTCTCAAAAATGATCGGTCAAGTATACTTGCGCTGTGTGTGCTCGAGACAGAATGATGTGTGTTTGCGCAAGTCTAAGCTTGCACAAGTATATCGTTACGTGTATGGCTGGCATAAAGGTGCGAATCCACAATGAGAATATTTCATGAGATTTGTGTCTCATGAAACAAAAAAATCATGAAACATTTATTTTCATTGTGGAAACAGACCTGAGACACGTGATATACTAGAGATAATCTCGTGAGAGAATGTGTCATGAGGCTTTAATTTCATAAACAAGTCTCAACGTGTAAAGACGATACATTGCGAATTTCGCATGAAATATTTATTTCACATGCTGCACGTGAGTCAAACTATTGTGTCGTGATATAAAAATAAGAAAAATGAGTGAACCTAGTGAACAAAGGGGTGTTAAAAGAAAAGATTGTAATGTTAACTGGACAAGAACCATGATACGGCAGTTAATAGAATTGTATGAATCCCATTCCAATTTGTGGGACTGCTCTTCCGAAAGGTACAAAAACCGAAATCTGAGGAAATCAGCTATGGATGAAATTGCAAGTTGTGGGAGTTTCGGCTCAAGACGTTAAGGAAAAAATACATAACCTACGTTGTCAATTTCAAACCATAAACAGAAAACGCAAAAATACCAAAAGTGGCCAGGCAGCGGGAGACAATTTTGAGGTTAAATGGGAATTTTATGATGTCTTAAAATTCATAGACGGTCCAACCAATATTAATGAAAGAACAATACTTGATTCATTGGTAAGTTTAATAATAAATATTCAAAATATATTTATATTGCCATGGAACTTCTCCTTCCTGGTGAAAATATTCTGTAAATTCCCGTTGTACATCTTTCGCTTCCAAATTTCCCCGAAGATGTGGGTTAACATGCAGATCCACCAGGCCTTGAATTGATTGTCTCCATTCTCCTGGTTCTATAGTGCCAGTTTCGTGATTTTCCACATCAAAACTACCATAAGGAGCGTAAAGTCGTTTAGACCGTGTCATTAAGAAATTATGTAGCACACATATTGCAGAAACAACGTGGATCAATTTTTCTACTCCTAGTTCAATCGGTCTTCTTAAAATGCGAAATCTAGCAGAAGGTAAACCAAAAGCATTCTCAATTATTCGGCGTGCCCGTGATAGTCGGTAGTTAAATATTCTTTGTTCACCATGCAGATTTCTAAATGCATATGGTTTCATAATGTAAGACTTCATGGCAAAAGCGTCGTCTGCTACTATGACAAAGGGAACTGGTTTAGTTCTACCTGGTAGTGGTCTAGGTGTTGGAATACCTAAACTGTTATCAGCCAGTTTATTTGATAGAGAGCACGCATTAAAAACACCCCCATCTGAAATTCGTCCAAAACATCCGACATTAATGTATTGAAATTTATATTCTGCGTCAGCCAGTGCCATAAGTACAACACTGTGGGTGCCTTCGTAATTGTGGTACAAGCTTCCACGTTGCTTAGGTGCTTTAATAAGAACGTGTTTGCCGTCCAGTGCGCCGATACAATGTGGGAAATTCCACTTTTCTGCGAACTGTTGGGACTTTTGCAGCCATTCTTCCTCGGTGCAAGGCATCTGTAACAAAATTTATGTATATTTCCTTGTTTAATAACTATGGTTCATTATTATGCATATCAGCTTGGATATTATTTGCTTTTAGACTAACGAACCACCTACTGTCCTAAGAGATGACCTAGACGAAAATTCTGAGAGTAGCGAATCTCATATTCAAGGTGTTATAACTGAAGGAAACAATTCACAAACTCCAAGCATATCACGTTCTAATACGCCGCTTTAAACATCACATGATGTCACACCGAGTTCATCAAGATCTTCCTCGGTACAACCAAAATTAAACAAAATGAAAGACCAAGAGCAACAAGTTGTACTTGACAAATGCATCAATGTTCTATAACATTCAGCAGACTCCTTTGAAGTCTTTGGGGATTATGTGGCTGACGAACTGCGGGTTATGAGTTCGAAAGCTCCAAAGCTGCAGTCCTGGGCAAAGCGAGAAATTCAGCGTATTATCTTGAAAATGAACGATGACTATGAGCTCCAATTTCAGCAAAACACAGTAACATCACAACAGCAACCCATAAATAAACAGATAATCATAAATCAGTCCATAGAACTGACACCGCTCAATAATGAAATTCCAAATAATGATGGTGATTAGTGAAATAGTACACACAGGTATTCGAAATAAATACATCAGCGAGTGGTAGCTGTCTCCCAAAAAATGTTTGTTTCTTCATACTCAAAGCAAAGGAATTACAATGTACTTACCTGTAGCTAAGAAGCGAAGAGTAATAGCTAACCTTTCAGCTGCTGGAATCGCATTTCGCATATGTGTGTTTTGTTTTTCTATTGCAAATTTTATTTTATCCAACAAATATTTAAAATCAGCGGCGGACATTCGAAGACAGTTTTTGTAACATTCCGGATCTTCCCGTTCCAGTTCTTCCAATAATGTTTCCATTATATTCTTATTTGACGTTCTTTTAATCCAATCTCTCGCCCAATATCTATGAGTCCTCCTATTTCTACGACGGGACTTAACGGTTAAGTAGTAATAACAAGCGGCAGCTTTTCTTTTATCCTTTTTAGTTACCATCTTGAAAATCACTTCACAACATACAATAATATAACAATGAAAGAACCAATCTTCGGATGTTTAAGTTACAGATTATTAACTGTGGAAACAGTGCTGTCAGAGACACCTTGTCTCGTGTGAGAGTAAACTCTCGAGTCGCATAAACTCAAGTATTTCAGTGAAATATCTCATATTCTGTGGAACCATATCTAAAATAAATTTCTCATGAGACAAAAATCTCAAGAGATTTCAGTCTCCTTGTGGACACTCACCTTAACAGGTGCAGCGCGGTGTGGTGGGGGGCGGGGGAGTACGCGCTGCGTGTCATCGCCGCCCGCGCATCTTCAGTGGATAGTGATTCAGAGTTTTGTTTTTATGTTGAGTAACGGACGCCAACACTACGTTTGCCTGGCTACGCTACGAGTTAAGGCTCGATGACATTAAGCGAGTTTACTCGCTACTAGCCGGCGAGTTTAAAAGCTGGCGAGTCAGCGAGTAAGATAGTTATGATGACACACAAAACTTCCCACTCGCGTAGTAGCCAACTAGCTAGCGATTTAGAATCACGTACTGTGTATATCTTATAATTTGCAGACTCTTTCTGGGTGCTTCATAAAAAGATGAAGTGGAACTCAAATAATATTGTGGAATTTCTCAACAGCTACCAGCAGTACCCTGTGTTATGGAATATAAAAGACAAAGACTATTGCAACACAAAATTAAAGGATGGGATTTTCCAACGTATTTTTAATGAACTTAATGAAAAGCAGTTAATTGGAGGAATGGATGTAAAGCAATTGAAAGCTAAAATCAAATCAATTAAAGACGTATACAGACAAGAACTGCACAAAATCAAAAGAAGTATGAAAAGTGGCTGTGGTACTGAGGAAGTTTATTCGCCAAAGCTAGCATGGTTCAATGAAGCAAATTATATGGAAGAGGTTATGGCTACAAGAAGTAGCAAATCAAATTTGGTGAGTAAAATATATTCACTTTAATGTCTTTTTATTCACAGATAATTATGGATACATTATTACTCAGACTGTTATTCCAACTTTCTTCCATTGCCAAGGCAGAGGATGTTCTTCTGTAAAGTATTTAGCATATGCTCGCCTGACTTCCTCAGCAACGCGTCCGTAATTATTGCTGCCCAAATGATTAACAGACTGCAGAATGTTTCCATTTTCCCTCCATAGCCCATAGTAATTATTCAATGATCCAACATGTTCTTGAGCGCAGTGAAACTGTGAAAGACTTAGGTATCTACTTTGATCAACATCTAACCTTTAATGAGCATATCAATCAAATCATATCAAGTGCTTACCGAACCTATGGCTTCGTTATCAGGAATTGTAAATCTTTTGACGTTTTGACTTTGCAGACATTATACTTTAGCTTGGTTAGGTCTAAGCTTGAATATGGATCTTTGATATGGAGTCCGATTTACAAGCAGTATATTGATGTTGTTGATAAACTTCAAAAGAAATTTTTAAAATTTTTATGTTTTAAGATCGATGGCATATATCCTACTAGAGGTACAGAATACAACATCCTTCTTCATAAATTTGGCATTCAATCCTTAGAACAACGGCGTCAGCAATCAGCAGTTATAGTTTTATATAAATTACTGCATAATCTAATAGACTGCCCTAAAATACTTTCACAAATACAGTTTCTGGTACCACGACTAACATCAAGGTATAATGTTCCTTTTTTATGTCAAAGAGCTCAAACAAACTTATTGTCGAAAGCGCCTGTCAACATGATGTGTGTGAATGCGAATAAAATAGCCGATGTATGTGACATATTCTTATATAGCATAGGTGAATTGAAGTGCAAATTGCGTGCTCACTTTTGATTTATCTTACGTTTCTTATTTTTAAGCTGTAACTATATTTATTTTTTGTTATTGATACATGAATTATTATTGTTTTTTTTTAACAAGCTACCTCATGGTGATTTTTTTTATAGTAGTTTGCTCTGTAAATGGTGTTAAACTGTTGGGCAATAAACGCTTATTATTATTATTATTATTATTATTATTATAGCCCAGGTGTTATATTCCCAGTGTTTAAATCCTCTCTATCTACTGCTTGTTGTGGTAAGTAGTTGCCTGGATGAGTTTTTCTTAGCCAATTATGAAGACTGCAAGTAGCCCAAATGACTTTATCGATAGTTTCGGGTTTCAAATCAATTGGTCTTGAAAATACTCTAAACCTCCATACAAGTACTCCAAAAGCATTTTCTACAACCCGTCTGGCACGGGACAGACGATAATTGAATATTTTTTCGACATCGCTGAGGCCAGTTTTACTGTACGGTTTCAGAAGATTTGATCTTAAAGGGAAAGCATCATCTCCAACAATAACGCCATTTTTAGGCATCCCTAGAGTATTGTGTTCCATTGCAATGTTCAGAGTACTATCTCTAAATATTGCACTATCACTTGCTCGGCCATTTCCTCCTACGTCGATGTAAGTAAAGCAATAGTCGGCATCAACCATAGCAAATAATATGATACTATAGGTTTTTTTGTAATTGAAGTAGGCTGAACCGGAACACGGGGGTCTTTTGATGATGACATGTTTCCCATCAATGGCTCCCAAACCTCTAGGAAAATTCCAACGCTGGAAGAATTTTGTTTCGTTTTTTTTTTTCATTCATTAACTGTTTTAGGTACCTACAAAGAATAAAAGTATTATAATTAAATTGAAGTAATATTTTAAATCAGTAACATTATGATTTCTAGGATATCTCAGAAAACAGTTCAGAAGAAAGCAGTGAAAGCTGTAGGGAATCTGCTCAGTCCGACAAAGACAACTGTCAAGAGGGACGCTTGAAGAATAAGTCGCCTACAAAAATGATGCCACCAGCGACGTCAACGAAAAGGGCGAAAAGACGAGCAGCACCCGAAAAATCACCTTCTGAAATATCAGAAGCGACTAATCATTTGGACAAAATTGCACAAAATGCAGCTGAGGAGAAGCCCTATGATGGGTTCGGAAAGTATGTTGCATCTGAGCTTCGACAGCTTCCACAACGACAAGCCATCTTGCTACAACAAGAAATTCAGAACTGTATCATTCAGTCTAAGCTATCCGCTTTGGAGCATATAGTTGATTCAACCCCAGAGCCAACCAATACTGCATTTTCACCATCTTCCAATCAGTCTCTTGCTTCGCATTCTTCAAACGACGATGAAGATGTTTTAAAGCAGGTAATGATTAATACGTTTGGACCAAGTATGCTGTAATACTATATAGATAATGTAACTTTCATACAATATATCCTTACAAAAAAAAATGTTTTTAAGTCGTAGTAAATTGATTTTCACTCACCTCAATGAATGGTAGAAGGGCGCGAGAAATCGCAGTGAGCACTTCTGGCAAAAACTTCGATATTGTCGATTCTGGAATTCGAAACAGGTATTCTAAAGACTTAAAAGAATCACCAGTTGCTAGATAACGTAGTGTAATTTCAAGTTTTGTGGCTACTGGGATTGCCATTCTCATTTTCGTATCATCTTTTTTGAGCACTCCATGCACCATCTCGAGTAAGTCATCAAAATGGGTACAATCTAATCTCAAAATATTTCGGTAAGCCACAGGATCTTCCTCCTTCAACTCTTTCAGTAAACTGCTCGATGCACCATACTTATGACGTCTTTCTATCCATGATTTTACCCACACTTTTCTGTGCCTTAATTTCTGCTTTTCTTTTATTTTTAACTCCTTTTTTATAGCATGAGCTAAAATAACCACTCCCGCGCGAACTATATCCGTCGACATTTTGTAGACACTATAACCAAATAACAAGATACTCGCAGCTAGTCCATTAGCAACCATGATGACACACGGCTAGTTTACTAGCTAACAAGCCTAGAAGCCAGCGAGTAGCGAGTAAAGTAGCCCGGCGTTCAACTTTTTTCATAGATAGTTTACAATCTGCTAGTTAGCTAGTGAATACGATGACACTGGGCGAGTTTACTATCAGATAGTGAATTCGCCGGCTAGTAGCGAGTAAACTCGCTTAATGTCATCGAGCCTTTAGATACCTGCTTATATTTGCACGTTATTTTTTACAATGGTACCGAAAAAAAGAAAGGTGGAAGTAGAAAATAGACTGTTTTTGCCTGAATGGACCGATTTGTATTGTTTCACGTTGCCGAATCGTGCTGGAGCAGTACCGAAGTGTTTGATTTGTCAACAAACAGTTGCGTTAATTAAAAGTTCGAATATAAAACGACACCATGAGACTAAACACAGATCATTTGCCGACAATTTTCCACTCGGCAGTAACCTGCGCAAATCTAAAATTGCAAGTCTACTGTCAAGCTACGTATCTTCGACTCAAATCATGAGTCGTTCAATGACTGAGCAGGATAAATGTGGTGAGGCTTCTTTACGTATTTCTTGGACTCTTGCAAAGCATATGAAAGCATTCACCGATGCTGATATAGTTAAGGAATGCATGCTCGAGGCAGGGAATGTTTTATTTGACAACAGAAAAGATGTTGTTGAAACTATTCGACGGATTCCGTTATCTGCGAGTACTAACTCAAAAAATACTCACGTTTTGGCAGAAGAAAATCATAGTGAAGTGAAAGAGCAGATAAAAAATTCCGACTATTATGCCTTGGCTATGGATGAATCCTGTGATATTACTGATAACGCGCAACTGGTTACCTTTGTACGCTTCTTGGACAAAATTAGTGAAACTTTTGTTGAGGAGCTATTGGTTGTTTTGCCGTTAATAGGAAGAACCCGAAGAGAAGACATGATCGAAACGATGATGGATTATTTCATTAAAAATGAGACTTAAAAAAGCTTTTATCAGTAACTACCGACGGTGCACCAGCGATGGTTGGGTCCAAAAAAGGACTAGTTCACCTATTGAGAACCAATGCAAAATGTAATGAAAATTTGATTTCCTATCACTGCGTCATTCATCAAACTGTGCTTTGCTGCAAAGTTAATCCTAATATTGAGATAATAATGCAAGAATTGATGAAAATTATAAACTTTCTTCGGGCAAAATCAGCACTGAAACATCGTGAATTGAAAATATTTCTTGACGAAGTGGACACTCAATATGACGATCTGTTGTTGCATAATAATGTGAGATGGTTAAACAAAGGATGCGTTTTACAGCGATTCTTCACCATTTTAGAAGAATTGAAGACATTTCTTTCCAACATTGATCAGACGTCAGCAAACGCGTACTTAAGTTTTCTTAACAATAAGGAGAATGTATCTTCCATTGCTTTCTTATCAGATATTTTTAAATACATTAATGATTTGAATCTTAAACTTCAAGGCAAAGAAAAGCTTGTATGGAAGCTCCAGACAGAAGTAAAAAGATTTTTGCGAAAAGTCGATCTTTTCAACATCGACCTTAATAATGACCTGCACTTCCCTAATTTAAAAAAAAAATCAGCAGTGACAACGAGCTTGACGTCAGCCAATACAACACGTTCATTAGTGATCTTAAATCGGAATTTGAAAATAGATTCATAGATTTTAAGAAAATTGAGAATGTCGTGGAGATCCTGAGTGATGAATGGAGCAATGAAGCTGCAAATATTTTCGGGAGTAATAAAGCTGCTCTCCAGATGGAAATAATCGATTTCCCAGAAAATACAGTTTTGAAACACCGAAACCAGGAAGTTTCTTGTCAAGAATTTTTGATAAAAAATGTTTGTGCTAACAAATACCCAGAATTAAAAAAATTAGCCATGAAACTGCTTACTCTGTTTGGGTCAACATATGTTTGGGAAGCAGTATTTTCTAAGATGAACTTCATTAAAAATAAATTCCGGAGCAGACTTACCGACGAACATCTCCAAGATTTAATGACAATAGTTTGTACAAACTTTGGACGTATTGCAAAAAATGTCATTTTTCTCATTAATACTGTAAAAAACCCTTCGTACTTGCGTTTGTTCATAACGTTTGTTTATTACCTATTTAATAAAATATTGCTCCGAAACCTATTCGTTTTATTAATTCATTGATATCGTATCTGCAAAAAATTATATACAATATATTTATTGTTTCAATTGTTAAGCTCGTAGGGTGGCATTTTTCCTTTTTCGCCGGTCATGTCATTTTTTAAAAAGGACCTTTAATGAAAGTAATTGGTGACCCCTGCGGTAGATCATGCTGAAAACGAAATTTTGAAGATGACAAATTCAGCTAAGTCCGATTCAGTCGTAGAAAACGATGGAAAAAATAATGATGAAATTTTAGCAGAGTGCAGAAATCCCTTTAACTGTCAGTATGAGAGTTAAAAATTTGACCAGTATTTCCACGATCAAGCGAAACAGGTAGTATCACAAATTCGAAACGAGGGTATCATCAAAAATAACCCGTACTACTGTCCTACGTTCTTGGAGGAAATTTTAAAAAGATATATATCATAATCTCCCCCTATGATCTAGCATAATTACCGGTCAAGGATCTTGCAATGCAGTTATTATGGTATCCTGAAAAATAATATTTTGCATGACGGTTTGAGATTAAAATGTTCTCAGTTCATACGCAAATGCAGGAAGTACGCCTTGTGTGTATATACGTCAATCAAATTTAACATAAATAGAAACTCATGCACTAGAATTAATTCAAAAAATGCTCTGCCCCAAAGTCAGCCTATTCAAAACTCCACCACTCCTTACACAAAACACTTGTTTTTAGCGAACGGATTGATAGATAATCCGGAATATTACGGACAGACCAAGGGCAATACAACTCACAGTTCACAGACAGATGACAATTTTAACCTATTATACAATAACTCTTTTACAACTTTGAATAATGTTGACGAAGTGGAAACAAATTCCTGGTTGTTATAGAGTTCGCATTGAAGATTTTGATAAAAAACAGCAACCGAGCTGATATTAAACTTATTGAGTCTGCTTTCAGTATAGAATAAACGTTACTTAAATCCCATTTTCCCTCTCTGAAAGGTGTTAACCAAATGTTAATACCGTATAATCAAAACGAAAACCACTGGGTGTTAATTCATGCACATTTTAAGAACAGGATGTTTGATTACATTGATCCCTCTGGAGGTAGATGCGATAAAAGTATATTCAACAAACTTTGCAACTTTCTGGAAAAATATAATTCTAAATTTCCTATTCATAACGTTTCCATAGATCTTAAAATATTAGATTATGAATCAGTTCCAAGACAAACAGATAGGAGTTTTCGTAATCTACTTTGCAGATTGCTCAATAAATTCCCAACCATTTAACTTGACCTTCGATCCTAAGAATTACCGCGTTTTTGTAAAACAGCTTATGTTAGTTGTGTCGGATAACATGAAAGGCAGGTGCTTGTATTGTGGTAGCGACAATGCTACCAGCCAAATGCTATATTGCGAAATTTGTCATCGATTCCTGCAAGTAAACGAGCATTATGTATGTAACGTTTGCGAAGAGTACGCAAAATTTGTCAATCGTCGAAAATATCGTGGCAACCAGGCACTGTCTGACAACACTATCCGTCATTTCGTTACGAATTCTCTTGAGTACGGGACAGTGGGAGATCGTCAACATACCGTTCATCAACGACCAAGACGTTCCAATGAATTGGTTGAAGCGATCAGAGAGCGTTGCCCAGAACCCAAAAGTGTCGTATCGTACCGCGCTCAGCATTTTGGTATCAGTGGAACCACGTTGCGGCGCATTTTGAAGTATGGTTTGCATTTATTTCCTCATAAGGTGCAGCTAACACAAAAAATATTGCCAACTGACCGTCCATGTCGCTTGGAATACGCCCAAATAGTCGCTCGCATGGTTGATGCTGAACCTGATTTTGATTTTCATTCGCTCGCAGATGCCGTGGAGTGAAAACGTACCGAGGAAGTAGCGAGACCGAACGCGACACAGGCGACACGCGACAACAAAGTGACCGCGCGGACAAAACGCGGAAACGCAAGAGTGTCGTCCACTCGAAAAGGCAAAGCCTAAATCGGGCGGACGAAAAGCGACTACACAATTTCCATTTCCTCGCGATTTTCAAATTGTATAAACTGGCGAGAGAAAATAGGGCGCTAAAGAAGCAGATTGTCACCCTGAATAAATCTGTCGCAGAGCTCACGGCTGAAATCGCCAAAATAAGAGCAGCGTCGTAGAAAAAGGAGGCAGAATGGATGGAGAAGTTGGACCTCATCATCTCCAATCAATGAGTAGTGGTGAGCGAAACGGCCCCGAAACAGAAGAAGGAAAAGAGGAGGTTGTCCAGCACCTCCTCGGAAGAAGAAGGAAAGAAGATAGAAGCCCCTCAGAAGAAGGCACCCAGAAAAGATGAAGTAACCACCTCTGCAACGACAACAACTGCAGAACAGGATGAGATGGATCAGTCCCTCATCCCCACCCCTCCGGCGGCGGAGGCAAGCTATAATAAGGAAAGGAGGCCACCACCACCCTACATCCACAAATAAGAACAGTGGAAAGAGGTCGTGAGCAATAAGATGCTCACCATTGAGAAACCTGCACGATCGAAAATTAGATCTAAAAGTTGTAAATTTTCAGAAAAAGAAGCGGACAAAATAATGATGGCATCTAAATAGACCATCACATTAGTTCAGGACAAAAAATTATATCCACAATACGTTGCCAATTTGCGAGTGCATTGGTTAAACCAAATGGCATCCTCCTAAACTGAAAAAGACCCCTTCCTGGGATAGTCAATGCCGTATACTCGCGGGAAGTTTTGCTCAAAGGTACTTGCCAAAAGGCAGATTTAATATCTATGGAACTAATGAATCGAGCATTTCGTAGTCTATCCAAAATTGTTGAAATATACGGAATAGGCCACGCATCTTTCAGCGAAAATCTATACAAAATCTAAAAGATCCATCCTTTTTACGGGCAATGCAAACAGGAATAGACCAAGGGGTATTCGATCTTTCTATCACACCCAATTTAAGCAGTTCTTCAACTTCATTATCAATACATTTTTGTTTGTAGGGAGACACCGGATAATAACGTTGCTTAATCGGTTTCGTTCCTGGTTCTAGAGTAATCTCTTGTTCTGCTACTCAACAACAACCAAGCCCTGTATCCATCTGTGAAAGTTTTTCACTAAGTTGTCCAATTGAGTTTTCTCAGAAGATGTTAAGTGACTCATATTCTGCACTGTACAGATTTGTGCAAGATCATTAGATTTAGAAAAATGCCAAACATCCTGCTCAAGATCAGGGATGATTTCCATAACCTTCCAGAAATCTATACCTAAGATTATTTTATGTGATAGCTCAGGGAGCACAACCACATCGATAATATGCGTCCGGCTCATTAAAGTGATCGGAGTTTGGATATAACCTATACTATGACACACTTGACCGTTCGCCACAGTACTTGCACTGTTTTGTTTGATTAACTTAAGACCCAAGCTTAAAAGTATTTCATAACCTGGTAGTCCAACCAATGTACGACCAGCACCAGAATCAAGTAAACCCAACATTGAATAACCCATTATATCGATTTTAAGATAAGGACGTTGATCTCCATGGGCATGTGAAACAACATAATCGAGAAGAATTTTATTTTGAAAATCATGAGTGTTGGTCGTTAAAGGTATTGAGTGGGAGGAAACAGTACGACCTAACGATTCCTCCGGGACTCGTTTACCGAACTACTACAATTGAGACAATTCCTAAAGCCGGCCCCAGACACTACGTGCATTCGGCGAATATTCTGTATTCGAGCTTATTCGCGTAGCGTGTGGGAGGCTACCTTCGACGAAGATTCGTACTACGTCGTTTTCCCAGTGGTTGTCGGACACGAATCAAAGGAGCTCGGAGTGCGGCGTAGTCAACTTCGGCATTTCTCCCAGACGCTACGGCTATTTGTTTACATGTTTTTGAGTTTAGCGTCGCGCTCCGCTTAGTTCGTTTGTACATACGTATATTGGCGGAAGGTTGATTTGATCTTTTTGAAAAATAGAATGGAGCAACGAATTAACTTTGGAGTTTTTACAATTATTTGAAAATGAAGCAGTCATCTGGAATCCACAGATTCCAGATCACAAAAATCGAAACAAGGTGGCATATGCCTGGAATAACATTAAGGCAAACTTTAGTGTAGACTGTTCGGTAGAAGAATTGAAAAAAAAGAAGGATTCATTAATGACAATGTTTCGGGAATTGTTCAATAAAGTGAAGGCCAGTTTAAAATCGGGTGCGGGCAGAGATGAAGTGTACAAACCTACTTGCTTTGCATGCGACACAATTGTTAATTTTCTCCAACCAGTTTATTCCCCAAAAGATACGATAAGTACAGAGGTAAGTCATACTTTCAGATTGTTTTCTTTTTCTAATGAAATACGGAATACTTATTAGTAATTCCATACATTTTGAATAGTTTTGGTGATTCCATATTTTATCAGCACTCAGTACATAGGGGAAAGGTCCCTAAGTTGGACCGTCTCTTAAATTGGACCACATCTGTAATTCACAAACGGTAATTCGAGGCGCCATCTATGGCCTATCAGTCATAGCTTACGCGTAGTCCAGTCTGTATGTGGAAAAAGAAACCTGTGTTGCTAGTAATATCGAAGGTATCACATGTTGTTAAGTTTTATGCCGGCTGATGTAATTTTTCAAGTGAATTTCTTAAGCTGTAGTTTTTAACTGGTAAGTTGTTTTGTATATCCGTCAGTTTATATATATTTAGCCATCATTTTCCTGAACAGTCATTAAGCAGTTAATTTGATTTTAAGTGAAAACAACTTTTTTAGAGCCAAAAATTGAAATGAGGTTATGATTTCCTAAATTGGACCACATGAAGTTTCTTAATTTGAACCGGTCCAATTTAAGCAACCTTTTTTTTTCAGTTGAATACTATGTCTCAACGGGGAAAGTATGGAAAGTGGAGCGAGACGAGCATGCAAGAAGCCCTTAATGCCTATGAAAATAATGTTGCCGGTTTAAATGAAATCGCTAGGAGATATAAAAGTTCCTAAAGCTACTCTGAAACGTAGAATTGACGATACAAACAAAAATGTGCATGGATGCGAAAAAAAATTCGGACGTTCTACGGATCTTCCCCTAGAAATTGAAAATGAAATAGTTAACCATGTATTGGAGCTAGAAAGAAGCTTGTTTGGAATCACTCGCAATGATTTGCGAAAACTTGCCTATGATGTCGCCGAAGCTAATGGGATTTTACATAGATTTAAAAACGGTAAAGCCGGCAAGAAATGGTATTACTGCTTTATGTCCAGGCATAAAGAGCTATCTCTTCGACAACCAGAGCCTACTTCAGCAGCGCGGGCTACAGGTTTCAACAAAGAAAAAGTCAAGGCTTTTTTTGATTGCCTTACTTCTCTCTATAATGAGTACAATTTCAGTCCATCTTGCATTTATAATGTAGACGAGACTGGCCTCTCTATGGTTCAGAGGCCTCAAAAAATTATTGCACAGAAAGGAAAACATCAAATAGGAGCACTTACGAGCGGAGAGCGAGGTGTAAATACGACATGTGTCTGTTGTTTGAACGCTGCTGGCAATTACGTACCGCCAATGCTTATTTTCAAGCGCATTAGATTTAAAGATGAACTGAAGGCAGGCGCCCCTCCAGGAACAGAATTTGCATGTTCAGAGTCAGGTTGGATAACTAGTGAGCTGTTTGTTAAATGGTTGCAACATTTTATTAGTTTTGCGAAACCATCTACTGATAGGAAAGTTCTCTTAATACTGGATGGGCACACCACTCACACAAAAAACCTAGAGGCCATTTTACTTGCCAGAAAGCATGGAATTGTAATGCTGTCCCTACCATCTCACACAATACATCGACTGCAACCCTGTGACGTCTCTTTTTTCAAGCCCCTAAACTCGTATTACAATCAAGCAGCTGATAAATGGCTTCGTACAAATCCAAGCCAAAATATAACCCAGTTTCAGGTATCGGCGCTTCTTGGGGAAGCATATGCTAAAGCAGCATCTGTTGGGAATGCTCTAAGTGGATTTGCCAAATGTGGAATATGGCCGTTGGACCCAAATGTGTTTGATGATAGCGAATACGTTTGTCTATCTACCAGTACTAGTAGTACCACTTCGTTTAAAAATCAAGTAAACTCGGAGATAACCGAAGAAGTGATTCAGAGCGCTTCACAGTTGACTAACATTGATTATTCCAATCCACTTGCATCCACTTCAACATCCTGTTTGCTAAACACAAAAGGTAAATCAAGTAGTGAGCTGCCCAAAAGGAAATCTGTTTCCGAAGTATCACCTGTGCCCATTTTGAAAAGAAAATCGCGTAACCTGGCCTTGTCTTCTACTACAATTATTACAGATAGTCCATACAAGAACGATCTTGAAAAAAAAACAACCCAAAAAAATTGATGCTTCTTCAGCCACCAGAAATGTATTTTCTTCTGCAAAACCTACCAGTAAAGGAAAGTCGTCCAAACTCGATAACAAGAGACCTATTACAAAGAGACGAAGTCTACAACATGGAACGTCAAGCGAATCTGAATCGGAGGACGAAGATTGTCTATGCCTTGTTTGTTTATTTCCATATTCTAAATCGAATCCAGGCGAAGAATGGATTCAATGTAGGATTTGTAAAAAATGGTCGCATCTTAAATGTATCAGTGGAAAAAATGTTAATTTCTATGAATGTATCAACTGTGAATCATCATCAGATAGCGACTAATTATATGTTCCTGTTTTAGGAAGTTTCATTAAAATTAAAATGTTTCAGTTCTTTTAGTATTATCAACTTGTCATTAAAACAACTCACTTTTCCTACATAGTTGTTTTCAGTGTTCAGAATAACGTTTGATTTTTGTGACTGGTGTTTAAAAAACTGTTTATATTTTTTGTACGAGCTTTGGATGATTTTAATAAATGTTCTCTTTTCAAATAATAGAAAATGATTCACGGTTCAATTTAGGGTACCGGTGGTTCAAATTAGGAGACCGGTATCTTAAATTGGACCAAATGACGTCATTTTCTTTTTTTAATTTTTTATAAGACTAATAAACCTAGAATTATTTCTACAGAAGTAAAAGTTTGATAATAGTCCCAAGAATTACATCAATTTTTATTAAGTGAATTAAGTGACGTATTTCGATTTTACACGCGATTATTGTAAGGTGGTCCAATATAGGGACCTTTCCCCTATTAAGCTGTTTTAATTAAACTTAAGCATATCCGTCCTGCCATGGTAGTTTACCAACTGTTGCAAAATATTCGGCATATGTTTCACGGATTTGTTTTGGTTGAGCTCCCGATTTTCTAGGAATATTTCGAAGTGGCAACAAAGAAGAAAGGTTACAATTATTATTATCTTGTCTCCATGTTCCTGGCACTATCTGCCCATCGTGATCACTATCAAATGTACCTGCGGGGGTGTATCGTGATGATGAAGTTCTACTTTTTCTTAAGAAATTGTGCAGTAATGAACAAGCCATAACAACATTAGAAGCTCTTTGAGGGTCGAGAAGCATTGGTTTTCTAAGTACCCGGAATATGGACGACATTATTCCGAACACGTTTTCAACAACTCGACGAGCGCGTGAGAGGCGATAGTTGAAGTGTCTCTCTTTACTACCTTTCTTGTGGGTTCCTGGAAAAGGTTTCATTAGATATTGACTTAAGCTGAAGGCAGAGATGGTCCGTTTGATGATATAGGATGAGGTGAAGGGAGATTTAAATCACCTTTTTCCATTTTTTTAAATAAAGAAGTATTTCGAAAAACACCTCCGTCGCTTATCCGTCCTTGACAGCCAATGTCAACATAGCTAAAACAATAGTCGGCATCCACAAGAGCCATGATCACGATACTGAATGTGCCTTTATAATTGAGGCTATCAGAGCAAGAGTGGCCTAAGCCACAAATATACAAAAGTGAGTTTGATACAGAAATGATTGATTCTTAAGGTATATTTTAGGGTGAAAGTGGTCTATGCCACATTTGACTACATTGCAAGAGATGGCACCACCAAATCTGTTTTTGCATTGCATTAAAAAGTCTCAACTAGAGAGCAACACCGGCCTAAGCCACAAATTGTGGGATAGGCCACTGTTGCTTTATAATTTTACTAGAAAAGAAACGTGGTATAAACCAGTATAATCAAGACACGATTTTTGATTGCTTCTGTTCATTTAAAAGTGTGTAAATACAAAATAAGGAGTTTGATTATCAATAAGAATGGCTTCCACATCGTATACATTCACAGGTAAGTGGTATAATATTCCAAAATTATGAGAAATATTTTTAGGTTAGGTTCCACTAGCTTTTCCATTGTAAATGCCTTCTATTTCTCTGTTCTGTTTGCGAGACATTACCAATGATCTCAACTTAAAAAAATACCCATTCAATTTTTAATAAGTAGTTTTGTCTATTATACGCATTGAATTAAAGCTGCAAACTAATCAAAATTATAAAAAAAGTTTAGCATAACGTACATGTTTCTTTTTATTTAGAATCGGACGAAGAGCCTGATGAACCTTTTCAAGATTCAGGTTCTGAATATCTTCCAAGCGAGTCTGAGTCTATCTCGGAGCTAAACATGTCCCATGAGTTTGACGCTGAGCCCCAAAACACTGAAAATGATGCAGAGCAGCAGAAGCGCTCTCGTAAGCGCGTAAGAAATGAAAACAAGTGGAAACGCAATGTGACAAAAACTAAAAGGAATCTTGGAGAAGCATACATAAGTAGGAGATCAAAAAAACTTGTTCCCGCAAAAGTTTTTAATAATGTAGACAACTGCTGTACAGATCTTTGTTGGCAAAAGATTCTCCCAGAGCGACAAAAGGCTATTTTCCAAGCATTTTACAAAATTGAATCATTTGATTTGAAGTCGGCTTACCTTTTTTCTTGCGTCGATGTTGTGAATAAATCAAGAGTCTATACCAACAATGGTAATACTTCCAGACGACAAAAGACCCGTTTATTTTATTTACAAGATGACACAGGTAACAAGATAAAAGTATGTAAAAGCTTTTTTAAAGGGGTACTTAAAGTCTCAGATGGCAGAATAACCAGAGTTTTGGTCAACAAATCAAAAGCCATGCCTGCTCCGACAGATGGTAGGGGAAAACAGCCTTCTGCTAACAAAACGCCGGATCATAAAGTTGATAAAGTTAAAGAATTCATTGAAAGGTTTCCAAGCTATCAGTCACACTATTCCAGGAAAAAAAATCCACATCGGAGATACCTAGCCCCAGATTTGAATTTGAGTATAATGTATGACCTCTATAAGAAACAACTAAGTTTAAAAGACGAACAACCTGTATCAAAATACATATTTTCTGAAATATTTTCAAAACAATTCAATCTTCACTTTCATGCACCTGTTTCTGATTCTTGTAAAAAATGTGACTTATTGCAAAATAAATTAAAATTTGAAATGGACGTCGAAAAAAGACAAAGTTTAACAACTGAAATGGAATTACATCAAAGAAAAGCTCAGAGTGCCCGAGAGGGAATGAAATCTGATGCTGTTGTGGCGAAAAATAATTCAGAGGTAACTGCAATTGCTTTTGATCTAATGAAAACTCTTCCGACGCCAGTAATCTCCACCGGAATTAGTTATTATAAAAGGCAACTCTGGACTTATTGTTTGGGCATACATAACTTGGCTACCAAAGAGTCATTCATGTACATCTGGAATGAATCCATTGCATCTAGAGGTCCCCAGGAAATTGGTTCGTGTTTGCTGCATTTTATTAAGAATCAAGTTAAAACAAAAAAATTATTGATGTACTCGGACCAATGCGGTGGCCAAAATAGAAACATCAAAATGGCACTACTATGCAATTATATTGTTTCCTCTCATGATCTCATTGTTGAAGAAATTAACCACAAATTTTTAGTCAGTGGACACTCATACCTACCGTGTGACCAGGATTTCGGACTAATTGAAAAACAAAAGAAATATTTCAAAGACATCTATGTGCCAGATAGCTGGGAAACCGTTGTTAAGGCAGCAAGAAAAAAGGTTCCTTTTAAAGTTGTTCAGATGACAGTCACAGATTTTTACTCTACTGTTAATTTAGAGAAGAATATAACGAATCGAAAAATTTCCGAAAATAAATTAAAAGTAGAATGGATGAAAATCCAGTGGCTGCTCTTTAAAAAGTCGGATCCGCTTAAAATCTATTTTAAATACTCAAATCAAGATTTTGCTCCATTTGATTCAGTTGACGTGTCTAAAAGGAACTCTTCTAACAGTTTTAAAGAGCTGAATCTGTTATATCCAAAAGGACGTAAAGTTGATATCAAAAAGAAAAAGGACCTATTGGATCTTGTATGTTTTATTCCCCCCATTCATCACGAGTTCTATCAAAACCTGAAAACTACGCATGATCAAGACGATGAGATTTATTCTGATAGCGATGAAAGTGAATGTGAAAATTAGTTATTACATATTTCTTTTGTTAAGAGACTAATAAAAATTACTATTTTTTGAATTGTTCGTTTTTTTCCTGACTGTTCAGTAATTTTATCAACAATGGCCTATCCCACCGAATCAACTAATTTCTTTGCATACTGACAATTTCTCGTTAATACAAAAGTGGCCTAACCCACATTTTTTTTGTCAAATTTCGTTTTGCCCATAATATTGAAATAACATTTAAAATAGGACATCTTTTAAAAACTGTTGCAGTGGAAAAAAATCATATTAAAACAAAACTACCTTATTGGCAAAGAAACAAAAAAAGCGAAAATTTAAATTGCGTTTTTCTCAGTACCATGATTTTGGGCTTAGGCCACTCTTGCTCTGATAGCCTCAATTAATATATTCTGATCCACTATTAAATGTGCCGACAGAACCACATGCTTGTCGTCTAAAGCCCCGATGCAGTTTGGAAAATTCCATTTCTTATTGTATTTGTTGGACAGATAAATCCATTCTTCCGTGGTCTGTGGCATCTGAAAATAAATATTCTTATGTTACATTTCTAAACCCTTTTTATTATCTTAAAATTAGAGAAAATAAACGATAAAACACAGTAGCAATATCAAAGTACTAATTATTCATTATTCTTCCAGGCTCAAAACGAAGAAGCTGTTGACCAGCAAGACCTGGGGCAGATCACACCGCCACCGCCGGCGCCGTCACCGTCCCCCCAGCCACCAAAATCCAAGGCAAAAAGATTCAAGTCATCAACGCAGATGCCACCCGAAGCAATAGAGGGTCACTTAATGCACGCCGTAAATGTCATGCAACAAATAACAAGTAATAAACCGGGTCGAGATAATTGTTCTCTATATGGCGAACTTCTTGCTACAAGGCTGGATGGATGAACTGAACAGAGAGCTTCTAATGCACGCAATCGACGATTCAGTTTTTCAGACTACCATGAAAATTAAAAGAGGTATATCGCCATCCACAATTTCTTCACAATCATCAAACTCCAACTTCCAACAGTCGGAATGGCAAGCACATAATTCACAATATCAGCAGTCTCCTGTTTGATTAAATCATCCTCAACAATCACACCAGTCTATGCCTATTCGTCAATCCCTGTCTCAGTTGTCATCCGCTAGTTTCATTGGCGCACATACTTCTCAACCACGGCCATCTCAGCAAACCCCTGTCGGATTGCTGCGTTATTCTCAACATTCACCCTCTATTTCCATTCCCAATCAGCTGATGTCACCTTCTAGTTCTACTAGTTCATGCGTTCCAACTCCCCAACAATCACCATCTGTTCTTCGTGACTCAGACACTTCCTCTTTTCAACCATCATTGTTATCACCCTCTCCTTCGATTGCTTCGCAAAATGAAGATGATTTATACTTAATGTAGTACTAATATTAATAAATTAATGTTTATAACAACATTATTATTATAGTCGGAGGCACTCTTAACGTGCGGGTCCAAAGGTCACAATTTCGTCTCGAAACTCCATTTGTGGAAGATTTCGCATGTAAAATTATTGTTAAATTATTGACAGTTGTTGTAAAATGGGAACTTTGCACCTGCTCGTTGAAAATGCCTCCGACTATATAGTTACCTTTATTTCGTCTTTGAGCGAGGTGATCATTGCTTCGCAGACCTCATGTACTATGTCAGATACTACTTGGTTAGACATTTTGAATAGATATGAAAGGCTAACAAAACTGTCACCAGAAGCCAAAAATCTTAAACTTACAGCTAGCCTTTCGTTGGCAGGTATTGCTTTTCTCATGATAGTATCAGTTTTTGTTATATATGGACCGATCTTATTTAGGAGATATTCGAAGTCGACTGCTGACATTCGACAAAAATTTTCGAACTTTCCAGATGGGTCTTGATTCAAATCTTGTAGTATATTTGAGGCATTATACCTGCAAAGATATTTAGTAATATTATGGTGTGACTACACTGACAAGTTGAGCGCATGCTCAAGACATTAACGGTGTTCGCATCTTTAATGTCTTGAAAAAAATTAATATTGCTATACGCCAAAAAAATTACTCGAGTAAATTACTAGCCACAGTCCGAACTAGACTTTTGAGTGCGGCAACTGATTGTCCCGAAGAAATAATGTATTTTCACATTTTTCTTTTGACAATAAATAAAAAGCAATTTCCAGGGGGGCAAGTGCCCCCTCTCCGGACGCCCTTGTCTGTAACGTCACTGTTAATACATACCTAGAACGACTTCTATTCAAAGATAACATCCACCATATTTTTTTACGTTCCTTTTTCTTATTACATAATAATAAAACCTACTGCTGAAAATTATACAACTAGCAGCGGCGACAACGATCTGCTCTTCGTCAGTGTCCATTTTAAACTGCATACTGCACTGCACACGCCACTGAAAATCAAGACGTCATCGGTCGCCGTCCTTGGTTGCTCTACGGGAAATATTCGATATTGGACGCATTTCTGCAAATAACGTAGCGTCTAGGAAGCTGACCGAAGGCGTAGTACATAGTCCGAAAGTTCGCACATTCGCCAAATGCACGTAGTGTCTGGGACCGGCTTAATGTTTACATTTGGTGCACTACAGCGATAACAGTGAGTTTTCCTCGGATTGGGACAATCGCGATTTATATGTCCTACTTTTTGGCAATTCCAACAAGTAACCCTAGGCGATGAATCGTTTTGAGACCTTAGATACCTCAGTTACCTCAGTAACTTTATTCGCATTTTCAAGTTCACATGAGGTAGAAGGACGGGAACTTTCCGTTTCTACGAATGCAAAGTCGGGCTCAACAAACTGTTGACGCTTTCGAGATGGGGGTACATAATTCTCAACTCTATGTTTCTTAACCTCAAGTTTAAGACATTCGATCTCAAGTTCTTCCAAGGTACGAACGACTGCAAGCTGGGTAGTATAAAATGGTGACAAATTCCTGCATACAATATCTAACTGAAGCTCCTCCGTTAGATTACCATAACGCCTAAATAGTCTCTGCATACAGGACAGATAATCAATAATACCCTCCGATGTATCTTGTGTTCTCTCTAAGATGAAGTTTTAGCAAATCAGCTAAGCTTTACCAAACAGTGACTCTATTTCGGTTTGCTCTGAACCAGTTTAACGCTTTCCCAGTGAAAAGATCTATAGCCGAGTCAAATAACTGTTTTTCAGTTACGTTGCGAGCTGACCGTAGTTCATTAACCCCTTCTAAAAAGTTATGGACAGAAAGTTGTTTTACATCGCCGGAAAATTTTATGTTCCATTTTTCTATTTTGAGAACGGTTTGGACAATGGGAGGTCTAGATAAAAAATTCTGTACAGTTGAATTATGGATAGGAGTTCTCTGGCAAGCCAAATTTTCATCAGAATTTTGAAAAAGTGTATTTAATTGAGGTTCTTGCCTTGACACCGTCTCTAAAGAATGTAATGCTGCCAAAACATCGATTAAGAGTTCAGTTATTTGAGTTTCATCTTCTACGCTAAGGGTTGAATCAGGTATTCGATTAACGCGGTTGAGGAGGTGGACAAACCTAGATTGAGCGGTAAGAAATCTGTTTTGTGGGCCCTCCCCTGAAAGTGTACCGATAGTATCGTTAACCTCATCCAGCAATGACCGGATCTGCACCTTTTCATCGTCAAAATTAAGGTTATATGGTGGAAATGTAAAAGTTCCAGCTTTTTCCAACTTTAATAGGGAGCGTAAGGTAGTTCTCAATTTGTCAACTGTATGACTTTCGTCAACACCAACACCATGGACTAAAATCTCATGAAGTAACATCTCTTTCTTAAGGTGACCAACTTCCATTTTTTAATCCATCTTACCAACAAACAAACTAATCTTACACCAACAAGAGAAGAGAAGGAAATGTAATAGTCGATAATACCTATATCAATTCAAATCAATCAACAATAAAATAATAAAGTCTGTCCAAAAGTTTCAATAATTTTTTTAAAAGTCTGTTCAAACGATTCAACAAACTTTCGAAAGTCTGTTAAAAAAATGCAACAAATTATTTGGCTCTGTGTACTGTTCAAAATGATAGGCCCTAAACGTTGGGCGCCACAAAATTTGCCACGCCTTTTTTTGGTTAATTAATACAATACAATGGTAAATACTATCTAACGGTTGGTCCAAGCAAAACAGTTGTCTAGTGGCGTGCAAGTTTAGGCCCTAGCTCAATAAAGCGGAGAGTAGGGGCGGGTTAAGAGCGCTAGCGACTTAGGATGGATTAAGCCACAACTCCCCAAGATGTTAGTCGGAACTTGTTTTGCTTGACCACCACACAATAGGAGAATCTAACAGAGATGGCGAAATTTAAGTAACAGTACACACAGAGAGAGCCAAATTATACAAGATATCAAACGGATCACAATATATTGATTTAAAAAAACGCACATTTGCTACACCACTGGAGTGCGAGTAATGAAAAAGAGAAAGTATGTTACAAATCTAGCCCCCCATTCATTAGTGGATTGGTGTGACGGATTGGTTCGTCCTGACTTGTCCGCCGACCGATCCGCCAATATATGGTATCGAAAGACATGTCGCATAGCGGTCCAGGTCGGGTTGTGATTTCGCTTGTTTGAATACCGAACCTACGACCCGACCGCGACCAATCCGTGCTGTTTTTACAATGTGTGTGTAACTTGTCAAGACTTGTCCGGCGACGAAAGAGTTCTTCCGAGATCAACGAAAGTATCAAGGCATTTTTTGAAGGGAATTCAAATTAAAATGTCTTTTGAAGATAATAAATCTTTTTGGGAGGAATTTATCCAGCTTTACCAGGAAAATCCTTGTCCTTGGGACATCAAGTGTAAGGATTACCGCAACAAACAGAAAAAAAAAATGCTGCTTATGAGAATTTAATTAACAAAAGCAAAGAAATGTTTCCAGATGCCAACAAGAAATTTGTTATCAAAAAAATATCGTCCTTACGGTCATCTTTCCGACGCCAGATAAGGCGAATTAATAGTTCAAAGAGAAGTGGGGTGGGAACAGAAGATGTACCAGAACCTACATTGTGGTATTTTGATCTATTGTCTTTCCTGATGGATCAAGAAGAGTCTCGTGCAGCGGTTTCTTCGATAGGAGGAAATAACCTAGATGACCAATCACAGGCCTCAGTAAGTAGATATTTTAACTAACAAATAATCTAAAAAGACAATATTTATAATAATTCAGATATTTTATTTCAACACATATACTATACATCTTAAACTTAATATACAAATTTGTGTTGAAAGTCAACTTCACCTGCATTATTATAATATTCTTTATATCCATTTCGTATCATCTTTGCGTCAATAAGTATATCAACTATTAAAGAAAATGTAAACTACTTCCTAAAGCTAACTACAGTACACCTGTATTTTAATACATAACTAATAACAAGATTTTAATTTTTTCTCGTACATAACACAAGAATATTAAATTTCAAATTCGACTAAAACAAGGAAATTCATAAAAGGCTTTTGTAATTTATGATTGAAAAGAGAAGCCCTTAAGTGAAAGTTAAATTAATTATATTTTGATTGCCAAGGTACTTGTCCAATTTCCGACACAAAGTATTCACTAAATTCGTCTCGAATTTCTTTAGCTATATATGAGGATTTTCTTGCCACTTTTTTTATAGGCATAAATGATTGAAGCACTTCCGAATCTTTTCTCCAGGCCCCTTCAGTTAGTGTCCCAAGTTCTAAATCTTCTGCATCAAATGATCCTGGTGGAGTATAGAGATCTTTTGCTTGTGCATTTCTTCTTAAAAAGTTGTGCAAAGTAACGCAAGCCATTGTAATTTTTTCAACTTTCTCTGGTTCTAAAAGCATAGGTTTTCGAAGACATCTAAAAACTGATGCTAAAATGCCAAATGCGTTTTCTACAACTCGCCTTGCCCTACTAAGACGGTAATTAAATATCCGCTGCCTTGACCCACGATCCTGATTCCCCGCAAAAGGCTTAAGTATGTTTTCAGACAGAGGAAATGCATCGTCTGCCACCAAAACGTATGGAACAGGTTTTTGTCGGCCAGGTAATATAGTTGGTTGTGGGAAATTAAGCATTGATTTATCTAGTGCTTTTGCAAATCCACTATTTTTAAAAACTCCACCATCTGAGATGCGACCTTGACAGCCTATATAAACATATATAAAATTGTAATTGGCATCGACTATAGCGAACAAAACAATACTGAAAGTTCCCTTATAGTTTATATATTCACTTCCGCTGAACTTCGGGGATTGGATTATTATATGTTTGCCATCCATACTGCCAAGACACATCGGAAAATTCCATAAATTATTGTAGTAATTAGCAATTTTTTTCCATCCATTGGGAACAGTTGGAACCTGAAAGGAAAAATACATTTATTTAAATATATCAGAATGCTTAATAGTGATATTTTGATATTTATTGATACTATTTATTTTAGGATAGTGATTCAACAGACGGTAGCGATAATGAAAGCCTTTTAGAAGACAGAGTAGTGCAATCACAAGCCGAAACCCAGGAAAACATAGAAGATTTTGAAGTTGTCCGCCTTGAGGACCGGCAATCCGTACAGGCAGGTAACCAAGTACCTCACCAAGAACAGTTGAAGGATATGCCAAGTACGCCAAAAAGAAATACATCGGAAGGAGAGCAGTTCCTTGTACCTCCAAAATCGAGTCGCAAAAAAAAGGGTAAACCTACTTCAACAACTGAAAACGAGAATATTACTCAAGAGGCTTTCCAAATGATGAAGGCTGCATTTCATAGATCAAACGGCGGTACACAAGTGCGGGACGAGTATAACATTTATGGAGAATTAGTAGAGCACCAAATACGTTCTCTGTCGACCGAATTTGCAAAAGTTACCGCTCAAAAATTAATTAACGACATATTATTCAACGCCAAACTAGGAAAATATGACTATCCTTCATACCCACAACGTAATCCATCACAAACAGGATCACGAACTCCTTTTACTTCCAATTCAGGATCACAAACTCATTTTGCTTCCAATTCCGAAGCATCATCATCTGCAATGGACGCTACATTGGGAGCCACTAATATTATTAGTAGTGATGCTGACGTTTTGCACTGGGCCATAACAAATTCGTTCGGAGTACCAGAAGTACAAGAAGCAAACAATAATTATTGTTCAGTATTTTCTTTAGGTGAAAGAGTTTTTTTTTAAGAAAATGTTCAGTATTAAGTTCAGTATTAAATAACTTTGCATTTGTGTTTACTGTTTTTAAAAAATATAATTAAAAATACCTTATGTGTCTGCTAGAAATTTTACTCACCTGTATGAAATGACATAGTTCTTCGAATAGAACACTGCATACTTCCGGCACAATTCTTGAAATTGTGGTAGTGGATACTTTACATTAAGCTTTGAAAACTATCCCCTGTTGCCAAAAATCGTAATGTAATTGCCAAGCGATCTGTTACGGAAATAGCATCTCTGTAGTTGGTGTTTTGCTTAAAAATTTTCGGACCCACTAGTTGTATTAAATACTCACAAGTCAGCACTTGATATTCTTACGAAGTTTTTAAATGAAGACCTCAGTTCACCATTTATTCCCAAATCAACTTTTCGTAGGTTATTAATCATTTCGTTTATGCCATACTTATTCCGTTCCTTTAAAAATGGCCTTACCCAATATTTTGGTTTTCTTTTTTTTGTTTTTCTTTAATTGATTGAATAACGAAAAACCCACATGCAATCACAAATAAATCATCGCTCTTAGTCGACATTTTCAAACTGTTTCCTGTCTCTTTAGTAGAAACAGATGAAAACAAACCGAAAACAAAAATATCTATTGATGTTGCTTTGGTGGACACATAGTTGAATTTTTGTTTCCAAAGACAGCAACTAGTTTTTGTTGCTCTTTTTGGAAACAAAACCCAGTTGCTTTGGTGGAAAACCGGCTTAAGAAGTGCTTTTGCGGCGTAAAAAGTTGTGTAAAACACAGCATGCCATAACGATATCATCAACTGTATCCACTTTAGTAGCTATTGGCGTTAGGAAAATCCTGAATCTATTTGCCATGATCCCGAATGCGTTTTCTACTATGCGCCTGGCACGGCAAAGACGATAGTTGAAACATTTTTCTTCATAACCAATACTGTTGGTTTGTCTGTATGGCGTCATGAAATTTGTCATTAGACTAAAGGCTTCGTCCCCAATAAACACAAAGAGTAATTTATTTTGAATTCCTCGCATATTGACTGGTTGGGGTAATTTTAAAGAATCTGTTATCAGTAAATTGTAAAAATCTGTTTTCTTAATGACCCCCCCGTCTGATATTCTTCCATTAGTTCCACAACTTACATAAGTAAATTCATAATTAGCATTTACGATAGCAAACAACACAAGACTGAACAATTCTTTATAGTTATAATAGTGTGAACCACTTCCTGGGGGCTGTTTGATAGCTATGTGTTTGCCGTCTACGGCTCCTAAGCAATTTTCAAATTGCCACATATTGTTAAATCCTTCTGCTACTTTGAGCCATTCCTCTTCTTTTGATGGAAACTGAAACCAAAAATAACACAGCTATCATATGAGCCAAAGTTAACTGTGAGCTATTTTATTGCAGGAAACCGATGCATACACACAACATTCTGATCAAGATTTAGATTCATCATCAGTTTTATCGCCTGAAGCTCCTCAAAGTGCAATACCAAGTTCCCGTAACAAGCGAACTCTCAACTGCACAACTTGGACATAGAAGAAAAATAAATTTTTGGATGCTTCCATAAAAGTATTGGAAACTCCGCAACAGGATGTTCTTGAACCACAAGAAATAACATTTGGCAAGAATACTGGTCAACAATTACAGGATATTGCAGTTGGACAGAAGATAATAGCCCAAAAACTGATTCGGATGTGCTATACCATGCAAAATTGGGAAATCTCACACATTCTTCTCATATTTCCCTGGGTTACCAACCACCATCATATCAAAGTGCCCCATGCGTTCCGCAAGCACAAATATTTCAAAACTCATGCTCCAGGCATACAACATCCATTAACCCAACCTTTAATGAACCCAGCACATCATATACACGTCAACCAGATGTACCAACTTTTACCACTTTGACAACTCCAAATCAGGCGTCTGCAAATAGGGAAGTGATGGAAGAATTTTTAGTTTTTCCCAGGCAAAATAATTAAGAAGTGATAAGGTACTACGAGTATTACATACTGATTCACATATCTTTAATTGTTAGACATAATTTGAAATAATAAAAGTTTTTTCAACATTTTTCTTATATGCATCAGAATACATGAAAAATATAATTATTGTACTTACACATAAGTATTTCTTCCGGAGGCAGTTGTATATAGCACGACACGTTTCTGGAATTATTCTTCCAAGTAACTGAGGAGAAATTATACAAGAAAACTTTAAGTCTTCATAACTCCTTCCAGTTGCCAGAAACCTCAAGGTGGCCAACAGACGTTCTTCAACGCTTACTGCTTCTCTGAATAAGTCATAGTCCATTCTGAGGTAATTTATAACATCAAGTGGTTCACATGATTGGATACATTTCAATAATCGCAAATGAGTAAATTGGTCTCTCTTTTGCAGCCATTCTTTCACCCAAACACGTTTTTTCTTTTTTTCTGATTCTAATAATATGATTGTACCTACAGCCAAAGCAATTTTCGCCTTTTTTGATAATATCGGAGACATAATGCTATTGGGTTCGCCACATTCAGTGTACAAATGAGCTCTTTTGCAGGGTTCGTGTAATTTCCGTCTAATGTATTGACAAACGTGGATGAGTCGTCAGTCGGGTCCCGGTTGCCGTCCGAGTTCAGGTCCGTCTAGTGAATGGCCCGCATTAAATACGACCTGACAAAATTATTTTTCGAGATAACCTCGCGAAACGTCTACCATGGTATACGCCCGAAGTATTTACAGGTATTTTGCGCCTAAAGATAGGTTTACATTGGTATAATTAGTAGTAGAATTCGATGGTAGAGTACTTATTATTCCCCTACTAGAATAATGTAAACAAGTTGTGCTAGTGACAGTAGAGTACTACAGATAGTCCAGGGGAGAGTAAAGTGGATAGCACGTGTGGAATAGTACACTCGACTATCCACCCCCCACTTCCACAATCGTACTCTACTCTACTGGTTTGTTGGTTGACTATACCAATGTAAACAAACACAAGTTTGGTTTTGTCTGTGTCTTTCGGACTGCTTGTGCGCTTCAGTCATTTTAGTTAAACATTTTATCTCAAATTTTAAACAAAAATGAAGTCGACGGAACATGAAACTATGAAATTAGTGGCAGTGTACAAAGATTACGAATGTATATGGAATATCAGCAGTCCTAATTATAGAAATAGGGCAATGAGATCAGCCGCCTACGAAGAAATCGTAAAATATATGGCAAAGGAAAATTTTGGTATTGCCGAATTAAAACAAAAAATTAAAAATCTGAGATGTACTTATAATCAAGAAAATGGGAAGATAAAAAAATTAAATACGTCAGGTGCCGGTATAAATGATGTCTATGTTCCGAATATTAAATGGTTTGCTTTAATGGATTCTTTCATGAAAAACGTTAAATGCTCTAGCACTACACACGACAACATAGGCAATACAGAAAGTCAAGTAAGTAAACATTTTTATTTGTTTATAAAAAAGTTATGTTGTGTGGACTATAATGTTGATAACTGTTTCTAATTACGTAATCTATGGTAAAAACAAATCTCATATTATATTCCGAATTGTAAAAATATCATACTTATTCATTTAGTAAATATTCTTGTACTGCCAGGAAACAGCACCTTCGTTAGTGAAATAATTTTTTAAATTATCTCGAATTTGATTTGCCAAGTTTGTTTTCCGTCTCTCATGATATCTTTCCATCCTACGTAGCTCTGTAATTTCGGCTCTCCATTGACCAGGGTTTATGGAGCCGGTGATGATATCTTCTTCATCTACGGAGCCACGAGGTAAATATTTAGCAGGTGAGGTCTTTCGTAAAAAGTTGTGAAGAGCGCATGCAGCCAGCACTATCTTATTGACTGTTTCTAATTTGCAATTAATTTTTTTATCGAAAATTCGGAATCTGCTCACCAAAATTCCAAAGCTGTTTTCCACTATTTTTCTAGCTCTGCTTAAACGATAATTAAAAATTTTCTCTGGTATACAGCGGTCTTCGGTAATTATTATACGGTTTCATCAAATAATGTCGTAAGGGAAAGGCATCGTCGCCAACAATGCAATATCCTGCAGGCAACAATCCATTTTGCAACAAATTTCCAAGTGCACATTTCTGGAAGATTCCACCATCAGATTGAGATCCCTGGCTGCCAATACACACATAAGTAAAACAGTAGTTTTGGTCTACTAGAGCCATTAGCACGACACTATAGGACCCTTTGTAATTAAAAAACTGGCTTCCAGAGTTGCCAGGACATAATATCAAAATGTGTTTCCCGTCTAAGGCACCACAACAACCGGGAAAATTCCAATGCTCTTCGAATCCATTTGCAATTATTTTCCACTCTTCTTCTGTTGTTGGCATCTGAAACAGAAAGAAAAATATGTTTTCCTATTACATCTTAAAAAAAATACTATTTTGTTTTTACTTAAATGGAAACTTTAAAGAAAAATAGCAAAAATCTAATTAATTGTTTTGCAGCCTTGCATAAGTAAAAAAATAATAATTTTAAAGCGATTTATATTGAGACATGAATTTATTAATGCACTTTTTTTTAGGCAAGCCAGGATGAAGAGAGTGCTCTCGAAAGTGATGGAAGGCCAGAATATACAGTGGATGAAAATACTGAAGTTTCTGCGAACACTACATTATCACGAGACCAAGCACAATCAACTGCATCGTCCCAATCAGTATCACATGTAACTCCAAAATCTAGAGGTAAAAAAAGGCAACTTGATGACTTGAGATCAGCGGTGGATTAAAAAATGTTCATAAGAATCTAAATAACCAGCCCGAGTGTCAAATAAGCGAGAATGAAGCATTTGGGCAATATATTACTGCGTGTCTCAATAAGCTGCCAGTACAAGAATCTGTTATGTTGCAATCCGAAATACAATCTTTGGTAACTAAGTATCGACTAAAGGCAGTACAGACTTCCGTGGCGGTAAACACCCCTTCCGAGATTCATTCACAAGCATTGAACGAAGAGCACTCAATGACGTCTCCTTCTAACAGCGTAGAGGACCAGGTAATCTTGGATGGGAATCTCTACTCACGACAATCTCAAGAGGAACAATATAGTACGCTTCACCAACTAGTACCGCCTGAACCAACATTTACTTTTACTTCATCTCAATATCCGAACGAGGAACATTTCGAGCAACAATTACAATTTTCTAAGGAAAGCAGTGGACAGGAAACATTAAGTAACATACTTTCTAAAGCTTGGCAATCAGCATAATTTGTTTGAAATAATAAAAAACTTGGAATACATTTTGAATAATAAAATTAACTCATATTATTGTATTTATTTATTAAAACTTACTTTAAAGTATTCGTGTAAGGCTTCGTTCATTGCTTCACATACTGCAGGAATAAAATTACTTATTGCTGGTTTTGAGACTCGAAAGAGGTGTTGTAAACTACGATAACTATTGCCTGTGGCCAGAAAATTTAAAGTAATTTCTAATTTAACACGTGCTGGTATTGCATCCCGCATGAATGTGTCCATTTTCTGAATATGCGGCTTAATTAAATTCAGCAGTGTTTCAAAACTATCAGGTGTCATTCTCAAGCACATTCTATATTCCACTGGGTCTTCCAAAGCCAGTTCTCTTAAAAGATTGGCAGATGCTCCCAATTTATCACGTCTTTTAATCCAATCCCTTACCCAAATTCTTTTTTGTTTACTAGTTTCTTCCTCTATAACTTCCTCAATTTCATTTAATAAAATATCTGCAGCTTGCACTAAACATTTTTTTAAAACGGCTCGATATTTTTGCCTACCCTGCTTGTTCATTATTACACATGTTAAATCGAACTATCTTTTCAAATTACTAGCAAAAGTAAATACAGTTACTCTACCAAAATGAGCATAGTAGAGTATTTCAGGAAAAAAGTATGCTAGTGAACTCTACTACTAATTATACCAATGTAAACCAGGCTTAAATATTGAACTTATCTGTAGGTCTTCTTTGTTAGGCGCGGCCGGGAAGGCTAAGCACATAGTGGAGCGGAGAGCAAAGCAGCGATGAGAGCGGCGAGCAACGAGTAAACGGAACAGCGAGTTTATGAAAGTGAAGGTGGCATATACTGACGAGTTTATAAGCGAGTGTCTTTCAACGAGATGGAATTGTTAATTGAAGATTCTTGCTTAAAAATAAGAAAAAGCCCAGAAGCTGTAGAGTACATGAGATAAACCGTAGTAGGCATACACTTGGTGAATTTCACCACCTATACAGTGAGTTGCGAGAACATCCAGCAAAGTTCCATGCTTATTTCCGAATGAGTATTGCAACATTTGACTACATTTTGGGGAGAATAGAAAATAAGCTATTAAAGAACTGGACAAATTTTAATTTAAATCCTATAAGTCCTACAGAACGTCTTACGATTACTTTGAGGTAAGTAGGTACACCAAATATTCAAACTTATATAATTAGTAAATACTGTAAAGCTAGTGAAGAGTTTCATCGGAGAAACTGCTTAGATAGGAGGCAACAGAGGTGGGATTTGAATATTCCTGGGATATAGTTTGCAACTCCGTAACATGGTAGGCCATAGGCTCCTGTGCTGCATAAAACTTCTGAAGAGTTTTGGTACTGATTTTGCGAAGGATTTGATTCACCTCCGTAAACGAAATTGTAGACCAGCTCCTGCATTTTCATTCTCAATAGCATTTTTTGCGCGGTGGAAGTGTTCTAACATGAGGAAGTAAGCTATCAAAAAAGTTTGAATCTTCATCGACGGTTCTTACTTGCTGATTTTGTAACATTTTTAATTTAGTTTCCTCAATTCTAACAAGGGCCGTGCCGATATCTTTATCGTTTTGTTGTTTTCTCACTTTGCTAGGCTTAGTGAGAGTCGCGCCGGGGGTCGTGGCCGATATATTTTCGTTTTCTAAAGGTAACTGGCTTTCATTTACAGATTTTTCGTAATCATCAACTTCAGTCTCAGTATCTTCATTAAAAATGGTATCGGCCATTTCATTAGGTAAATTACCACCACTGGATCGTACAGTAAACTGATCTCTCAAAAAACATAGGCTGTCGAAATATTGCCAAGATGAAACAGTTGATTGAGCAGCCCCGTCTCCAGACCGTTTCGCCGGTATTTTTTTCATCTCTTTACGAAAATTGTCCCGAAGCGTTTTCCATTTGCCTCTCACAACATTTCTTAAAATAAAATATTTAAGCATTAATGTACAGTGCTTCTTTATTCTCTATCAATGGAATTAACACAGCCAAATTTTGTGTACACTTTTCTTCTGGAACGAAGTGGAAGTCAAAATTCTGTACAATCGTAGTATGACACTTTAGCTAATTAATGCATAAAATTTGCGTTGTAGCGTCACTACAATAAAAAAAACAACTATATATTTTGTCACAAAAGATAATTAAGTTGAACGACTAGTTTTTCTCTTTCCAGATATTTAGCCACAGGCTCCTCATTTAAAAGCCTGGGATTCACCTATCGAGTAGGAGCTTCAACAGTTTCCTCAACTGTTCGAGAAACAGTGGTAGTAATTTGGGAATCATTACAGCCTGTACATATGAAAATTCCCACCGAACAACAGTTTACACAAATTGCCAAAGAATTCTATGATAAATGGAATTTCCCTAACTGTCTAGGAGCTATCGACGGGAAGCACATTCGAATAAAATGTCCTCATCACTCGGGAAGTATGTACTATAATTATAAGAATTATTTCTCCATTGTACTTCAAGCAGTCGCTGACGCAAGTTTGTTACAATTGACGTTGGGGGATACGGAAAGCAGAGTGATGGGGGTACTTTCCGTTCTTCCTCCTTGTTTCATTTGTTAGATACTGGACGTCTGAACGTTCCCCCAGATAGTGTTTTACCTTCAAGCGCAGTTGTAGCTCCTCATGTGTTTATTGGGGATGAAGCGTATCCATTATTGAGAAATCTGCTTAAACCTTACAACAGAAGCAATTTGGATGTTGATAGAGAGTATTTTAATATGCGGCTTTCAAGAGCAAGGAGGACGGTAGAATGTGCATTTGGCATCATCAATGCTAAATTTCGCATTCTCTGGAAACCTATAGAAATCTCTCCGGAGTGGGCTGATAAAATTATTAAATGTATTTGCCTATTACATAATATTATAATCTACAAGGAAGGATTAGATATTAAAAATGAAATAGTAATGCCACATTCTGAAACAGCAGACGGATCCCGACAAAATAACAGATCAACTGATACTGCGAATTTTGTTGGGGAAACTTACAAAATGTTTTTATGTCAAAATAAAATTTGAGAAGCCAAATAACTATGTATATTATCGCTGTAAAACTGAATAAATGTTTGTTATAAGCACTTACTTGTAGAGTTCATTTCTTTGCCCACCGCATCCCACAACTTATCTAATATAAATCGATTATGGTGTTGAGGGTCCTTTTGATCCCAGAGAGCTTTTTTCATAAAAATACTAGTTATTAGTTCTTCGGTGTTCATTTTTCAATGTATACTATAAGCGATTACAGCAAAGAAAACAAACTTGTTTGAACGCTCTGCTTTGCTCGACTATAACAGCGCTTATCGCATCTCCGACGTTAGCCTCACTATGTGCGTTCAGATTTAAAAAACGTAACTTAATTTCGCTGCTTTGCTCGCCGCTCTCATCGCTGCTTTGCTCTCCGCTCCACTATGTGCTTAGCCTAACCCTGTTTAAAAATCTACTCTACTCTCAATCTGAGATAAAACTACACATTGAAAACAATCGCACTTGAAGCGAAACCATGTACATTTTTGTGTACAAGAAAAGTAAAGCAAAGGCAAAAAAATATGTTGGTAAACAACTTCACCATAACCTAACTTTCTGCTGTCATATTTTTGTTAAAATGCCATAACCAATGTTTTAAGACAAACAACGCATGCATATCGGTTCAAAAGGTTTTATCAACTGTTCAAACAGAAGATATAGATCTGGTACAAATTCTGGGTAAATCAGTCGACTCTGTGGGTATTTCATTTCAGACATTTGTCAAATTGTTGTATAACACCTGCAGGCAACACCAAAATATTCTAATAACCTAAAGACAACATGGACGATGCCATGATTGTACACAACCACCCGCCATATTGGGCAAACATTTATTCCTATATTTAATATTAAATAATTATGTTTCAGTTCGAAATTACAGATATAAAGTGATAAACATTAGTGCAATTGTGTCTAAATATAGGATTTGTGGACGCAGATAAGTTCAGTTTTCCATCTTAAAAATCTAGACATACTTTTGATCATTGTCAAAATATGAATCAAATACGAAGCCCGTAGAAATTGGGTAACTAATTTGCATGATAATCACAATAAAATTTGCTGCGCAAGTAATTCAATAGCCCTATATCAAAGTGTAGAAGTTTATCATATACCTGTGTATGAAATTCACAGTGGCCGATATGTAAGTAAACAAAATGACTGCAATGTGTTAGTTATATATTCTTCACTTCGTCTATACAATACATAGGAAATAGTTTGGTTGCAATAAAGTAGAATCACGTAAGAGAATAGTTGTATAGTTGACAAAAACTGAATCTTGCACTGACGCAAATGTCCTATAGCGGCTGCAAGAGGCTTACACTTTTGTTTTATAACTGTTACCTGCAGCCCTTATACAACCTCTTAAATGACTGAAGTGTCCTATTAGGTGTGCCCATTCCGCATGTATAGCTGTTCTAAGAGGGTTTTGCTAATGTTCTTACAGTATACAATGCTGTTTAACCCATTTGGTCCCAGTGGTGCGCTTACGCACCGCCAATTTTATGATTTTTTTCCCGGATAGTTCCTTGTTCTAACTGCTTAATACGTGTAGTTTGAGATAATCTGTTGCTACTGTATCCAAATTTAATTTGTTTTTGATCTTGACAGCAAAAGGAAAAAAATGGCGGTGGTTTTTGACATGAATATTATATTTGGTTCCGTAAAACATGTCTAAAATTCAATGAATTATGGTTTAGACTCATTTTTTCCTATAATTACCTATAAATAGTGGAAAAGAAACTTATGTGGTCTGTATGTTGTTTGTCAAAAGTTTGGCTTCGATCTTATAATTGAAGTTATACAAGAGGAAACTTTGTTGGTGCGTTTGTGCACCATTGGTTTTATCAGTTAAGTATTTTCCTGTTCAGACAAGTTAGCGCGAGAACTTGACGTACGCAGTACGCATTTGCAGGTGTTTACATTAGTTGCGTTTTAGTTGTGTCTAGTGCATACCATCGAGATATGTGCAAAGTGAATTGGAAGCTGCCGCTGAAGAAGCTGGACAAGAACTGTACAACTACAGAAAAGGTTTGTGTGCGAAAACTCCTAACCTAACCTCATTTGCATCCCTTTTATTTTTGCGTAGGTGCTCTTGATGCTGTTTACATACCTCCAGATGTAGACAATGTAACTGACGAGGAGGATGTACAAGATGAGCTACTACCCGAAATTGATGTACCAGGTCCTTCAGACATTCCTGGTACATTTGAACTCCACGCATTTATGAATGAAGATGATGCTGCTGAAATCCCAAACAAAGAGGAAGCCATTTTTTTGACGATGATGGATTCGATACTTCCGATGATGAGTTTTTGGCGTCAAAAAAATTGCGACTGGTTCCTCCCCCCGTGCCAGTCACATCCACAACTTTTGCTGTGACGCCCCTCCAGCCAAAGTGGGAAAAGGGTCCACTGGAGTACACTCATTCATCCATCAGCAACGAAGACATTGATATGGAGCATTTAAAGAATGTACTGGCTGGAAAAACGCCATTAGAGATGTTTTTTCTTTTCTTTGATGATGATTTGATAAATTTGATTTTAGATTTTTCTGTGAAATACGCCCAACAAAACAACAGACATGGATTTTGTTTGTCCAAAGGAGAACTTCTGAACTTCCTAGGCATTATGCTGTTTTCTGGGTATCACACCTTGCCGCAAGTTCCGCTCTATTGGTCAAACGAGGAGAACAAGGGGATAGACATAGTGAAAAAGTGCATGAGTCGGAATAAATTCCAAGCCATAAAGCGAAACATACATTTATCTGATAATAGTAATTTAGATAAAGATGATAAATTTTCTAAGCTTCGTCCATATTTAGACGCTGTAAATAAAAAAAATATGCAGTGGGGCGTATTTGCACACAATTTATCAATTGACGAACAGATGGTTCCTTATTTCGGTAGGCATTCTTGCAAAATGTTTATAAAAGGCAAGCCAGTTCGATTTGGATTCAAGCAGTAGTGTTTATGTTCGTCAGATGGAAATTTATTCTATTCTATTCCATATGCAGGAGCAATCGCTAACAAAGAAAGGACGTCATTGGGACTTGGTGGTGAAATCGTCAACAATTTACTTGCCAACGTGGATTATCCTGCTAGACATAATATTTTCTTTGACAACTTCTGTTCTTCATATCAACTCCTAGTTGTCCTGAAGAACAAAGGTTTTTTTGCCACAGGAACTATAAGAAGTAATCGAACAGGACACTGTCCGCTAGTTGAACCAAAAATCATGTCCAAGCGAGAACGAGGAGCGTATGATTGCGCGTATGACAAAAATAACAAAATTTCAATGGTTCGTTGGAATGATAATGCTATAGTTACCATTTGTAGCAATATATACAATGTTGAGCCTATAAACCAAGTCCGCCGATACAACATGAAAGAAAAAAGAGAAATTCTTGTACAGCAACCAAACGTCATTGCTAGGTACAATCGCTGTATGGGAGGTGTCGATCTTCACGATAATGGCATTGCAAACTACAGAATTAGAGTCATGGGAAAGAAATGGTGGTGGCCCATATTTTGTAATTCAATCGACAGTATCATCGTTAATTGCTGGAAACTTTATAATTCCGTAAATCAGAACAAAATTTCCCAATTGGATTTCAAATCCTACGTAGCCCTTCGTCTTATGAAGACAGACAGGCGTCATATTCCTCGAAATTTGCAACCAGTTGTTGAGGTTCGGTTTGATGACTGTGGCCATACTGTAACTCGTCACCCGAATAAGGCACGAAGACGTTGCAGAGAATGTCATAGCCACACAGTGCACATGTGCAAAAGGTGTAAAGTACATTTACACGTATCCTGCTTCGAAAAATATCATCAGAACTGAATATATTTCTGTCGGCCAACATCCCAAAAGTGTACGTGATTTTGGCATTTGACAAGTGCGAAGTCTAAATTAGAAGAAAAATTTAATAAACACACTGCAGAAAAATACTGTTAGACAGCTGAGAGAAAAATCAAAGCAGAAAGCTCATGAAGATAGAAAATTTGTGTGTGCTTCCTTCGATCTGCAGAAGGTAATTTACCTGCCATGTAGTAATGAAAGTGGTATTTTCTATAAAAGACGTTTTGCAGTGTTCAATTTCACGTTTTACAATGTTTTCAACAAAGGCTGCTTTTGCTACACTTGGAGAAAGGCAGAAAATAAAAGAGGTTCTTCAGAAATTGTAACCTGCGTGTACAAGGCGTTGCAATTTTATGACTCTAAAGGAATAAAGGAGGCGGCGTTATATTCAGATGGGTGTGGCGGCCAAAATAAAAACATCATAATGGCCATAATGTTGTTATATATAGTTTTTACGTACTACAAACCTTGATGAAATTTCTTTAAAATTCTTCGAAACTTCCCATGGACAGAATGAAAGAGATTCTGCCCATAGTGCTATTTCTCACGCGATTAAACATGTTGGCAATATCTTCAACCCATCCCAACAGTATCCAATATTTAAGCTAGCTAGGAGACAACATCCATACAATGTTTGCCCCTTCCAATACAATGACTTCTTGGATTTCAAGACGCTGGCGAAAGAGTTAAGAGTTTTGACAGTAAAGAAAGCCGAGAATGCAGATCACGTTAAATGGACTGAAATTATAGAGTTAGACGTTTCAAAACGGCCAATGATCTGAAGCTGCATCCTGTCGCAAGATATCTGTAACACCTGAAACTTATCCTGTGGTTTTCATGCTGATATGTGTCCATTTAAACTGGCCTGATTGGAACCACATATGATTGATTTGAAATATCTATTGATGAAGACTACAGTTGAAGTCGAAACGTAAATAGATACTTCAAATCAATCATATGTGGTTTCAATCAGGCCAGTTTAAATGGACACAAAACAATATTATGTTGAAACAATGAAAAACTACGAAGCAAGGATAATTAATACATATAGATTATTTTTCGCATTCGTATAAATTAATTTTTCAACTAATTATGATTACTTTTGTTGTCGTGAAAAGACCAAGTTTTAATTTGGTTTCTTGTTACAGAAGCAGAAGCAAGAAAATGTTGGAAAAATGTATATGGAAAACAAATAAAGAAAATTCAGGGTCGGTCAGGAGATGGAGCAGAAGATGAAATTATTTGCCAGTGGCCCTATTTTGAAAAATTACATTTTCTACGCAATCAGTTCACACCTCGTCACTCATCTACAAATTTAATGGATGAAACACAAGACACTATGGACAGCAACTCAGAGCATTCAAATCTAGAGGAATCTAATACTGACGCTGAACAATCCACATCCACCTCAATAACAAATGTGATTTTCCGAATCACAAGATGTGGCAGCAACAACGTCAACTGTAAGTCAGGCCGCACACCAGGCATACATTTGTATTAATTCAATTCTTGCGCCACATTAAAGTCCGACACTTTTAACACTTCCATATATCTGCACACAGACACGCACACCAGAGACACATTTGTATCGAGCGCATTTTGTGGCGATTCAACAAATACGTCGCTAGTTTTCAAGATCGAACAGGTTCGTTCTTTGTAGCGCGCAACGCCAAGCCACATGTTTGGCATAATTGCCATAATGAAAGACAATGTGGATTTTAATATCGAATTTATCAGTGAGGTGGAGAAAAATCCTCCCTTATATAATTACAAACTCTCTGAGTACAGCAATAGAAGAGCAACAGAGCTCATATGGGCAAAAATCGGCGAAAAATTCAATGAAACAAGTAGGTATCAACTAATTTTTTTATTGTACAAATATTATAATGTATATTTATTTTGCCATGGTACCAAGCCGTATGGTTTCTGAAAATAATTACATAGGTATTCTCTAGATTCTGTTGAATTGTTATTTGGTCTTCCTTGGTTTATTATTATGGGGATATTGGTAATGTTTGTTGCATCATCAGTCGGATTTAAAATAATATTATCATGGTTTTTTATGAAATTGTGTAAAACACAAGCAGCCTTAACGATTTTATCAGCTTTCTGAACGGAACATGAGATTGGCGTTTCGAATACTCGAAATTTGGATACAAACATGCCGAAGGCGCACTCGACTATTTTTCGTCCACGTGATAGCCGATAATTAAATATTCGACGATTATTGTTCAAAGCTCTACCATTGTAAGGTCTCATTATATTGATTGATAGAGGAAAACCTTCGTCTGCGGCAAAATAATAGGGAAATGGTTGTCCGAATTGCTCTTCACCTGGCAATGGCACTGACTCAAGTATATTTAATGTTTTATTACATAGTGCTTGGCCTAAGCCTGAATTTCTAAATACTCCTGAATCATTATTCCGACCATAATCCCCTACGTCGACAGTTGTAAATGATCCATTTGCATCAGCACATGCCATAAGATGAATGGAAAAATATTCTTTATAGTTAAAGTATGACGATCCTGAGTTCATAGGTTTCTGTATCCGAATATGTTTCCCATCTATTGCGCCTACGCAGTTAGGTAAATTCCACCTTTGAAGAAATTCTTGTGAAATACTTAGCCAATCATTTGTGCTTGGTTTTTTCATATAAATCGGTTGTAAGACTTTCCATATGGCTTCACAACTTTCATTAACTATTTTTCCAATAGTTGTTTCACCTCTTTTAAATATGTAAGACATTGCTCGAAATGAAGATCCTGTAGCCAAATACCTAAAAAATGTGTTAGTTATTACTAAGATATTATTGCTAATTTCTATTGTTGAATATGTGAATGTGAAATTGAAATGACCATACATATTATTTCTTTATAGGTGATGACTGTAAGTTAAAATGGAAATCGATTCGTTCTGCCTACATAAGAACTCTAACTTCAAAATCGAAAAGTGGTTCTGGTGCTGGATCTAAAAAAGGCTACTACTTGTCAACATATTTGCAGTTTCTAAATCCATTTACTAAAAATCGACGTCAAGAAGGTAATATAACGAACGTAATACACGACAATGAACAAGAATCTAACAATTTTTCTGAGCCTGAACCTCATATAGAGCAATCTTTAAATACGATAACCGATGCCACATCTGTAGATGAAGATCTACTGAGACATGAAGTTCCGTCACCTATAGCTGGCTCGTCTGCATCAAATCCAGGCTCTTCAACTGCGTCACGACCAACAATTCAATCATCGACTTCCGCTATTCATAGGAAACAAATGACTGATCCAGATAAATGTGCCATTGAATATTTTACATTGAAAAAAAGAGGCTAGAGGATAAAAAAGAATCCGAGGCACACAAAAAAGAACCGTGCGAGCTATTTCTTTTAAGTCTAGTTCCACATGTGGCATCAATGTCCCAACACCAACAGTTAATATTTCAAAGAGAAGTACTGGAGATAATAGAAAAGATTAAATATGGACAGCCTTCAAGCAGACATCATCATTCTGCAGATTTGCCAAATGTAGCATCATTCTACACTAACTTTTCTGAACGATTTCTACATGATCCTCCTACTCAACAGTTATCAGCCTCAGTGACTCAAGGTTCCACAGATGATGGACTTGAAGATCGACAATAATCCCTCGATAATCTACAGATGCAAACTTATTCAGTATTATGAGTATTAAAATATAAGGGCAACTAAATCGGACTTTTCTTAGCATACCTCCCTACACGATATCCCTTTTTACTTTCAAAACTAACAAAAAATTGGAATATATCCATGTAAAATGTCCAACTCGTAACTTGCTTCTAATTTTGTCAATTTAAACAATTTTATATTTTTACTAATAACAAACTTACTAATCGTGAACGTTTGATTTTTATAAACCTGTATACGGTTCATTTTGCTACTTTCTGATGGTATTCAAATCGATCGCTTGTTTGGCAGAATCAACTGTTACATTCATTCATGACATTGTTCAAAATTATTTTATTTACCTAAATAAACTAAATTGACGACTTAAAAACACAAAAATAATACAACTCTTAGAAAATGGCACTCCCCAAATATGATGTATTTGAGAAGTATATTTCATTTTTCAAACACTTCTTTAGCACAATTACCTTATAGTGATCAATAAGCGCTCTTCAGCAGGAACACAATCTCTGTAGTGGGTATTTTGTTTTGTTAAACTTGGTTTAACTAGATCCAATAATAATTGGTATGTATTTTGAGACATTCGATGATATAACTGGAATTTGTCTTCGTCAGATTTCAGCTGTTGTGAAAGTATGAAATTTCCGTGAATTGTGCAATCTTCATTATACGGATGAACCCAAAAACGTCTTTTTCTTCTTGATAATTGCCACATTAAAAAATCGTCATCGTCCGACGATGACGTTGTCGACATTTTAACTAACTTCAAAGCTACACGAGAAATGGTGTGTCCGGTGTGCGGTAATAAGACACAATTGTTCCAAGCACCAACGAGGCATAGAAATTGTGGCGAAGTAAATGTTGCATGAATGTGGCGTATCGCTTTGGTGTGCGGCCGCACTAAGTGGTGCTACTTCGGGTTCAAAATACTCAGTTTCTCAAACGGGTTATAAACGGCGACTAACACACATATAGAAATTGGGAGTCAGCTAGTTGACAGTGAAAAAGAAAAGCTAGCTTTACGGGCAAATAAAATTTCCCAGGACCCCAATGATGATGATTTAGGGTTTTTCAATTCCCTTCTTCCTTATGTGCAAAAATTGGCCCCTAGAGATAAATTAAAGTTTCGAATGGATATGCAGAACTATTTATTTGAAATTCTATATCCTTCAAATCAGCAGACGCAGGTCCGTTCAGTACCTCCTGCCACCCAGGTGGAACACGCCTCATATACTCAATCTCCTGCCACCCAGTTAGAACATGCCCCATATACTCAACCTGTTCTTTCTCGGCATGATCTACTTTGGAGTAAGCAGCCTTTTCTGCCGTATGAATTTCACTCATCCATATCACAAAATCAGAATTCAGCGGATTTAGACGCTTTAAACAACTATACACGTTTAAACTAAACAAGTTACAATAATTAAAAATGTAAGTTAAAAATGTAAATTAAAATTAAATATGTAGTTTCACTTACCTTATTGTCACTACCAGTTTTTCTTTAGCTAAAATCGGGTTCGTATGATAGTTATTATACGTATAATTGGAACGTTCAATTTTCATTTTTATGTTGTCATATATATACTGGAAGGTATCTAAACTCATTCTCATATAGGCATGGAATCTGTCAGGATGATTTCGAAGCTCTTTAAACAAGTGATGGTATTCCCCCAGATATTGCCTTTTTTGGTTTATAGGATAAGCACTAAACCTGCGATTTGATGAATTACATATGAGGAGCAGACTTGCAAAATGCATTTTGTCCAAATTTTCCATATTTGAGATACAGGTGGCGCTGCATTCCTATGATGAAATACTATCTTTTTTTAAACATTTGAACAGTCAAAATGTATTTAGTCCCCGTGTTATTGAGGGGAAAATTATACCTAGACAAACAAACTGATTTAAGTCCACTCACATGGTACTTTCAAAGTGCATTTTGTCCATAAACGTTGACAAAATGCATTTTGATGGGGTTTTTGTTTATTTTATCAGAATCTGTTGTTATAGTTCGGTGTTACCTTGGAGACTTTTTCAAGTTTTAATTGTTAAAACATTGAAGTAGTGTTGCTTTTGGATCAAAATGGAACAGTTAGAAGGGGAGCATATTGTTGGTGATAGTGTGGATAGGGGTAGTAGGAAAAGAAAAAGGAATACAACAAGCCGTGAGAGAAAAAAACAAATAAGGTATTTGTTAGGTTATAAGCCTAAAATATTTTATTATTTTCCGTTTCACTTTTAAGGTATTCCAATTTGGACATCAATCTAGACAATTTCAACGTAGTTTGTAATCATAAAAATTCTAATCTTGATTGCGAAGAATTATCGAAAGGAGCTATGCTGAAAATCCGCCAAACCTTTTTCGAGAGTCCTAACAAAATTACGCAGGACAACTTGCTTGCAAGCTACATGGAGATTAAGGAGCCAAAACGAAAACGAAGTCGCAAAGAAAATGGAAAGTCCCATAATTTTTCCGTAAATTATTTCGTAAGTATAACCATCTGAAATGTATTTTAAACTGTGACTTACTCTCGTTTTTTTTCAGATATTTTTTGAAGGTGATAAAAAACAAATTTGCCAGAAACTATTTAGAGCTATGTTCAGCGTGTCTCAAAGGCGAATAAACACAATATGTCAGAAAATAAAAATGGGATCAAGTCTTACTGAAAAAAGAGGAGGCGATAGAAAATCTCACAAATTTATCAACAAATTAAATGAGGTGAAAAAGTTTATAAGCAACCTGAAAGGGAAAGAAAGTCACTACAGCCGTTCTAAATCAAGAAGAATCTACTTGTCTGCCGAATACACCATTGCTAAACTTTGCAACTTCTATAATGAAAAAGTGACTAATGAAAAAAAAGTAAATTATAAATACTTTAGCAGGGTCTTCAGTAATCACTTCAACATAGGCTTTGGTAGCCCGGCTACAGATGTATGTAATTTTTGTGTTAAAACAGCAACGCAAATCGGTAATGCGAGGAATATTATCGATAAAGGCCAACTTGAGACCCAGTTAAAAGTTCACAAGGTTAGAGCATCTCAGTTCCATAAAATGATGAAAGAAGCATCTCCTAACTCAGTGTCTTTTTGTTTTGACTTGCAACAAGTGCAGGTTCTCCCAAAAGTTCCCATACAAGATGCTTTTTATGCACAGCAGCTGTCATTTTACTTTTTTTGCGTTACAGCCACAAACTGTAAAAACCCTGTTTTTTATTCATGGATGGAACACCAAGCTGGCAGGGGAGCGACAGAAATATCTTCCGCCCTGCTTGATTTTTTGAAAAAGACCAATTTTTCCCCGAATATAGACACTCTTCGGCTCTTCTCCGATGGATGCGGGGGGCAAAATAAAAATAGCTTTACCATCCACATGCTAATGTTATGGTTACACCGCTTTGCTCCAGAAACAATTAAAAAAATAGAAGTTATCTTCCCAGTGCGAGGACACTCTTATCTTCCGGCAGATAGAATTTTTGGGAGGGTGGAAAAGATTTTAAGACGACACGCGGTCATAAAAACACCTGAAAAATATTGGGAACTCTACAAACAAGTAGGTGAAATCAGAAAACTTGGAACTGATTGGTCATTGGTGAATATAAAAGAAGCTTCCATCTGTTTGAAAAAAGTCCTAGGAATTAGTTCAAGTAAAAGAATAATCATCAAACGGGGAAAGCCCTCAGGCGTTGTGGTGAAATCTGAATTGCTGTATCGAACGGATGATCCAGCGAAAAAATTCCAAACTTTGTTGAAACCTAAAAAGCGGTTGGATCAAATTGAACTTCCTAAAGTACGACTTGGACATGAAGTAAAGCAGAAAAAGCTTGATAGTCTAAAAAACCTACTTGTTTCATTGTCTGGTGACAAATGGTATGAAACAGACCCGCAGCTGAAATGGATGGCTGAAATATTTGAGAAAACTGTGGCAAACTGTAATGATGACGATGAAGAGCACGAAAATGACGAAGAAGCTTGTGGATGCGCTGAGAATGATGATAATGAATTCCTTTAAAAATAAAATTGTTTACTCCTAATATTATTGTAATACTTACAAATTTTGTTTTGTTGTTTCAATATACACCTTTTTTTAAATAAAACCAAATTTTTTATTATTGTTAACTTGACAATGACATTTAAATTGCATTTTGTCCACTAGAGACAATCAAACTGCATTCTGTCCAACAATTTTTTCAATTTTTTCAACTTGTTTTTCGACTTTCTTGTACCAAAACTTGTGATTGAGGTCGATACACCTGATAGCATTATATTATCCAGAACAAAATTTTCTGTCATGGTTAGCTTTTCTGTACTGGTTTTTTGCTTCTCCTGAAAATTGGTAAAAATGGACAAAATGCAATTTGCAAGTCTGCTCCTCATATAATCCACCACTTTGCACCTGCAGACATACAGTCACTATCGTCACTACTGTTGCTTCTATTCATTCTTAAGTATTCAATAATAAGACTTAGCGAAATTTTCCGAATTACGTCGGTCTCCTCTGACACCTCAAAGAACACTGAATGCCGAAAGCTTTGACTGAAAGGAAAGGATCTTCGACATGTTTTGCCAGGCATCGATGAGAACCTCGACCGCGACCTCCACCGCGCTCATCCATGCATCTTCGGTATGTCCGTACCCTCAGAATGTTTCGTGACTTGCATGGACTGGTACCCGGGAGACGACGAGGTAGACGTTAGGTTCTCCGAACTTTTTTAGTGTATGACAGTCTTATTTTTCTACCGAAAGATTATTCAAAATGGGTTCCTACGAAGCTGAACAGAAGCGATTGCAGAAACTGTATGAGAAGATTATAGCTGACGAAGAAGTAGAGGTAGAAGATCCTTCTGCCCGCTCAAGTTCTTCGGAATACATTCCAAGTGATTCAGAGTCTTCGGCCGATAGTGTAATATCAAAACAAGCTAAAAGAAAAAAGTTCAGGAGGAACAAGTTCATCAAACTAGTGTTCCTGCAACATCAAAAAGTGTAGAACAGGTACTATCATACATACTACTTATTTTTGGAAATGTATCTTGAACATTATTTTTTTAAGAGTACCGATTTTAATTCTTCTGAGGTTCCTAACATGAATAATAGAGAGATTCTAGATAAAGTACATCAGGTAAAATTAGTTATGCATATGTTTTCATAAATACTCAATTTGCTTTATTTTAGAATATTCAGCGAACAATGATCTTGATACTAGTACTGAGCTGAAGTGGGGGCATGTTGATATGCAGAAGTTGAATAAGTTTGATTTCCAGCCTGAACATTCCGGAATAAAAGACGATTTTTTTTTCAATTTATGAAAAAGATCCGTATGACTTCTACAGATTATTCCTCACCGATGAAATACTTGAACTAACTGTCGAATAACCAAACATTTATGCAAACCAAAAAATAAACCAGAAAAAATCAGGCAAGAGCATCAAAATCTAAACCCTGGGTGTCAACAAACACAGAAGGATTAGAAACATTCTTTGGGGTTATTATAGTATGAACGGGCTTGTTCAAACTGCCTCAGCTGCGTGACTGTTGGTCAAAAAATTTCTTATATGAAAATAATATGAAGAAAATAATGTCCACGAACAGATTTGAACAACTTTTGTCTACGGTTCACTTCAACAATAACGAAACATTCAGTAAAAACGATCGCGAAGTAGATCGTCTACATAAAATTTCCCGTTTATTTGAAAAATTGGTTGACAGGTTTCAGTATGTTTTTATACCCGGAAAGAATATTTGCATTCGTCAAACAATGGTTTCCTTTCTTGGAAGATTGAAATTTAGGCAATGTATAAATCAAATTGTATAAACTATGTGTAGAAAATGGATATACCCATAAATAGAAGTTATTGACGTAAAGATACTCAGGATGGCGGAAATGCCTCTTCAAATGTTGTCCTGTCCTTGTTAGATAATTTGTTTGACCAGACCAGAGTCGTACTTTCTACACAGACAACTATTATACCCAGCGAATCATTAGCTCATAAGCTTAATGGGCAGTGTGAATAAAAATTTAGTAAAAGCTAAAACTTACATTTTCCTAGCAAATGCTTAGTTTGCAGCGAATAAAAATAAGTAGTAGCGTTTACTAAAAATGCAATGAGCAAAATCTAATGTTTTTAGCATTGTCTAAAAATGGTGTGAATAAAAGTAAGCAATTACTAAGAATATTAAGGAAAAGCTTTTTTGCAAACTTGTTAGACACTGCCTTAAACATTTAGTATTGTTAAACAGTTTGTCAGAAATAGCTGCATTCATGAATATAAGATCTGTAAAATTTTATCCCGAAAGAAAAGAAAGTGGTGCCGAAGAATACCACGATCTGTATAGATTTAGTGAAGAAAATGTTGAGTGGATAGCTAACCATTTTTTGAAGCCAAAAGTGGAGACTAGAAAAAAGTGCAAATATTTTTGCGATTTCTAAGTGATCCTGGATTTCAAATAGGGATCGTAAAAGAAGAAGGAGTTTATACAACAACAATATGTAAAACGATATCCCACGTTTTACCAAAAATAATTGAAAAGGCAGGAATTTGGATAAAATTTCCTACAGAAAACTCGACTGACCAGGCAATCAACGATTGGGCACAGTTGTATAGATTTCCCTGTGCTTTTGGTGCAATTGATTGCACTTATGTACCAATAATAAAGCCATCGCTACATGGTGACGAGTATATCAATAGGAAAGGCTGGTGTAGTATAAATGTGCAAGCAACTTGTGACGGAAAAGAAATTTTTACATCCGTAGATGCTCAATGGCCTGGCTCAGTACACGACAGTCGTATTTTAAGAAGATCAAATATTTTTGGTATCATGAGAAGACGTCAACAGAACTATGGACTTATTTTAGGCGATGAAGGGTACGGCATAACACCATGGCTATTAACACCGTATAGAAACCCCAGCACACCTCAAGAAATAGCGTATACTTATTTACATAAAAGAGAGCGCGTTAAATTTAAGTGTACGTAGGTACCTTAATCTGAGTTAAGTTCATTAATTTATTAAAAAAAATACGTTAACAACGAAAACAATTTATTCATTTACTTACAACTTTCTGAACAACGAATTATTTATTTCTTCAAATTGGTCTCCATTTTCTTTTTGTAGTTTTTCCAACAATAATTTTTCCTTTTCCTTTTGAACCCTTATTAGTTCCAGCTGTTCCAACAATACTAGTCGTTGGAGCTCTCTATTGGACAAATTTGAGGTTTCGTCTATTTCCTTAAATTTGGTTCTTTTGCTAACAGGAGACTTATCAGGTAAAGGCCGAACATGAGGTGGAGGTGGAATAAATTCTTCAGTTTTAAGGGACCTATTCACATGCGAGCATGTCCGGCGGATCTGTCCGAGAGACGTACTCGTCGGACAGATCCGCACGTGTATATGCACGCGCTCGGCGTACATGTCTGGCTCGCCGTCCGTAGCCCAAGACGACGATCACCGCTAGCGAGCCGGACAGATACGTACGTGAATAGACCTGTTGCGGATTTGCTCGCCGGACGTAGAATTTTTCATCTCATTTTGCATTTACCTAATAAAGTCCAAGAGGGATAGTTTGGATTTATGTTATTAAAATGTCTTTCGCGGATAACAAACCATTTTGGGAAAGTTTTATTTTATTGTATAAGTCAAAGCCTTGCTTGTGGAATGTAAAAAGCAAGGAATATGCTAACAAACAATTGCGAAATGACGCATATGAAGCATTAGTTGAAAAATGCAAGGAAATTTGGCCTCTGGCAGATGTGAAGTTTGTAAGAAAAAAAATAGATTCCTTGCGTGCTGGCTTTCGCCGAGAATTAAGAGAAATTAGAAAAAGTAAGAAAACTGGGGCCTCCACGGATAGTATTTATGAACCCAGTTTGTGGTATTTTCAATTACTATTATTTACTCGGGATCAGGAAGAAGTTCGCCCTGGAACCTCTTCAATGGCATTCCAGGAATTAGAAGAGGAAACTCAAAGTGAAACAAGGGTAAGTAATTTTTTTAATACGTTTATTTTTAATAAAAAATGCAAACATTTTCGATCAAATACAACTTTTTGTAAGACTTTTCGATTATTCTTAATTTCCGTTGATCATATTTTCTTGAAATGATACTCCTCCTTCATTATTATAGTAGTTGGTAAATGCTTTTCTGACATTTTTAGCAATATCATTGTAATAGGTCCTTCTGTTTTGTAAACCATGTAACTGACGAAGCTCTTCACGCCAATCACCATCTTGAATAATGTGATGACTGTTTTCGCGATCAACTGAGCGAATATTCATATAGTTGGAACATTTTCTTCTTAAAAAATTATGTAATACGCAGCATGCCAATACGACTTTATCGACTTTTTCTACATTACTTAGTGTAATTGTGCTCAGTAATATTCTGAAGCGAGAAGCCAATATGCCAAACACGTTTTCAACCACTCTCGTTGCTCGGCATAGGCGATAATTGAAAACTTTTTCATCGTGGCTAATACCATTTATTGAATAGGGCTTTATTACATTTTCTGTTAGGCTAAAAGCGTCATCTCCTATAAAAACGTATGGTAATTTGACTGCTGATTTTTCAAGATGATGAGGAGGAGGAATATTTAAAGTATGATTTTCGAGTTTCTTGTAAAAATCGGTCTCTTGCAGGACACCTCCATCTGAAACTCTGCCATTTATTCCCGTATATACATAAATAAATTCATAGTTAGCGTTTACAATGGCAAACAAAACGGTGCTGAAAAATCCCTTATAATTGTAAAAAAACGAACCGCTATTAGGCGGTTTTTTTATGGCAATATGCTTGTCATCCATGGCTCCCAAGCAATGTTCAAAGTCGCAGGAACGTTTGAATCCATTTGCGATTTCCAGCCAATCATTTGAGCTTGATGGAAACTGAAACAAAAATCATGTGAAATATCATTTGTATTACAACAATGTGTATTATTTTTTTCAGGATGAACAACCTGAATCATTAAGCGAGCCATCAACTCCCGTAAGCAGCTGCTATTCTGAGCATGCTGAAAAAAGTAGCCGTGGAAGTTGCAGGTCCACAAATAGAAATAGTAGTCTAGGCCATAAAAAAGCAAAGTTTCTAGACGCAGCAAATGTTGCCCTTACAGCTCCAGAAAAACCAATATCTCCATTTGAACCGTTTGGAAAAAGCGTAGCAGTTGATCTCGAACACATGGACGCAAGACAAAGAATTATTGCGCAAAAAATAATTTCCGATGTTTTATTTTACGGAAAATTAGGAAGGCTTACGGAAAACTGTACCTTTCGTGCACCAACCCACCAACATTCAGGCAACAGTTTTCAAAACTTCTATGATTATGGGCAAAATCCTACCACTTACTATGGAAATCAGTTTGCAACACAACCAGCCACACTAGTTTCTCACCCACAAAATAATACTCTCTATCAACAGTCAACCATACCAGTTTTACAGCCGCCAGTTACTCAGCTACATGATACACTCTTTCAACAACCAGCCGCACTAATTTCGCATCCTTCAGTTACTCAGCTAAATGATCCACCCTCTCAACAACCAGCTATACAAGAATCTAATCTTCGAGTTACTCAGATTCAACATGAGCAACCCAGTACATCATCAAAAAATAATACAATATATTATGATACGAATAAGTGTGACGTTTCCGAGTTTCTGCAACTTCAAAGCAATAAAAAATAAGTTTGTAACATACTTTATAAGTAATATTGTACTTATTAACTAATAAATCATTTACTAACCTTCAAATATTCGTTTTTTAGTGTCATAAATAATGCCCAACAAGTTTCAGGTATTATTTTCCCGAGAAGCTGTGGGGAGATTGCACAACTAAACTTCAAGTCTTCAACACTCCTTCCAGTTGCTAAGTACCGTAGCGTAGCAATTAATCGCTCTCTGCTACTCACTGCTTCTCTCATATGGGTGGTATTTATTTGGATTAATGGGTCTACATATTGTAATAATATTTCAAATGCTTCTTTATCCATTCGTAAAAAGTTGTGCAAATCATGAGGCTCTGTTGTTTGGAGTTCTCTAATTAAACTCATATGAGAATACTTTCTTCTTTCTAAGAACCACCGCTTTGACCACAGTCTTTTCTTCTTCTTTTCATCAAATAAAACTATGAATCCTCCAATTATCGCAAGTTTCTTTTTATTATCCATTTCACAACGCGGAAATCAGTAACTGAATGAACCAAAAACTTCGTCTATCCAGATTTGTCGGTGAATGTATACGGACAAATTCGCATGTCAGTAGCGCGCAGCAGATCTGTCCGTCGGACAGATCCGCCGGACATGCTCGCATGTGAATAGGTCCCTTTAGATGTTGATGGCTGAGGTTGTTCCACAGATCCTATTGCTCCTGAAATAATTTTTTTGATCAAATAGCAGCAAAACAGTAATTTATACTATTCGGCGAAAAAAAACCGCTGCAAATTTAATCAATACGTCCACATCACTGTTTGAGTACCTAACCCTCCCTAAGTACTTAGAAAACGACATACATCATATTTTAAGATTCGACCTTGATGATGGATTTTTGATGTCAAAATGTCCGAAAACCTATTTGCGTAAAACAATTAGTGGAACTAGGTTCATTTACCCCAAAAACCTTAAAAAACATAACACATAAAACTTCATATTATAAAATGTTACCGCCTCCCATCCCTATTTTTGTTAAAAGGTTCAGTGGAGTGTAACATCAAAATATGCATAACCAAAAACCCCTAAAATTACATATTACCCGATTTTGTACGAAAAAAGTTTTTTTTAATCTTATTCCCTCCCTTCCCCCCTCCATTTTCATTAAAATATTCAGTGGGATCTAAAATCAAAATCTTCATACCCAAAAACCCCTAAAATGACATATTACTCGATTTTTTCCATTTTGTTTTTTATTTTACCCCCTCCTTACTACCTACCTGGTGCTTTTTGAAAAACAGGGTTTTCTGGTCCTTCCATTCGCGCCAAAAGTTGTTTTTCCACGCGTTTAAAACAATTTTCTTATTTCCCGTTGCAGTTTTCTCCGTCTGTTTCTTCAACTCGGTCTTCATATTTTATATTTTCTTTTTAGTTGTTTTTCAGTTAAATCCCTTCCAATTTGCAAAATATATATAATGGTAGATTTCTTTGTATACTTGTTCTTTTTTCTCTTTTATTTTAGGAACTTGCGATTTATTAAATATATATTATAGCTTTCCAAAATTTCCACCAATTTCAGGTTGGACGAAATTTTTGCAGGAACTTCCTCCGTCAAAAAATCACTTGTAGAATTTTCTGAAACACTACTCATTTTGAACGTAAACCCTTAGCACTCGGTAATGATACTGGTTTAAAAAAATTTCATGTGCTCGATATTTGCCTTTGTCGATTTGCACATCCGCATTTAAAATTTGTTCATACACATACAGACTATCTACAGCCTGCATTTCCGCAGAATTTCACAGCCTACTGATTAGTCATAAAAATATAAATATAGACCTTATCAGAATACAAACATTTTTTTTTTTGATGATTTACCAAATAAGAACTTTAATTAAATACTTAAAATATCTAGCTTTTGCTATTAGCAAAAGCTAAATCTACCTGGTAAAAGCTAAAGCTCATACTTCATACTAAAAGCAAAGGCTAAGTTTTTATTCAATCGGCCCACCTTGTAGGAGCCTTTAGGGCAAACAAAAAATTTAATTGCACTGATGTTGCACGAAAAAAAAAAAACTAAAAAAGAGTGAGGTATTTGCCACAGAGCAATACGGCAGTAGTAATGCTAAAATGATATGACAAAAGGGAAGTTCTAATGCTTAGCACAAAATATACAGATCCGACTAAGACAATAGAGGCAGGCACAAAAGATATAGAAAAACCTGAAATGGTTCTCGATTAGGACGAATGTAAATCTTTTATCGATCTCTCTGATCAAAAAAAGCATACTCGCACGGTTTGCAAAGAGGTACCACATGGTACATGAAATTAGCTTTTGAGCTTCTTTTTGGTTCTGCTATGGTAAATGCATTGATTATGTTCAAAGAAGTAACAAAAAGTAAAATTATCACTGAATTCAGAAATTCTATAGCTTTGAAAATGCTTCGCACTATAGCGGTCCCAAATACCAGCCGCGATGAAATACAAAATCATCGACTCTAAGAATTAAGATCAAAAAACCGATGCGTGGTATGCAAATGAAAATTGCACTAGGAAGAAAAGAAGCTCAGGATAAGACTCCACGATCCAAGTACCAGTGTAGCATCTGCGCCAAAAACTATTGTTACCTGTTTTTTTGATGAACATAAAGCATCACTTTAGAATATGTTATAATTATCGTGATAGACTGTACTATATACGATAGGTACCTTTTTCGTTTTTTAAAATCTGCAGTTCTGTGGTTTATGTTTGCATGATGTGCATCATCAATAAAGGTGAATATGTATATCCCTAAAGTCGTTTTCCTCATATATCAGTAGGGTTGATTCGCCGATTCAGCTTCCTCCCGGGTGGTGAGGTAAGGGGCGGGGTGTGTTTAAATTTCGAGTCCTCCCAATGACCATCCTCATAGCATCAAAAAGGTGTTGTTTAATAGAAATGAATCGACGGATAGTGTCCCCCCCTCCCCACCTCCCTCGCCCCACTACTATAACTCATCGACCGGCGAACGAGCAGCAGCGCTCTTTTCCCACTTCAATCTCGTCATCCCTACACCTTAATCCGATGATATGACCATTCTTTGCCCTCTCAATCGTCGTGTACGGTGGGGTAAGGGGCGGGGGATGTTTAAATTCTGACTCCTCTCAATGACCATCCTCATATCATCAAAAACGACTCGTTTAATAGAAATGTGGAGTCGACGGGCGATGTAATCCATTGTTGCCCTCTCAATCACCGTGTGTGGTGCGATATTTTTTGTAGACTACCTAAACTCTTGTATGCACCTGTGCAGTAATGTAATCTAACTCTTCTCGGCTAAATAGCTCGACGGAACCCATGGTAGTGCTGTGTGGTAAAGGCCGGTGAGGTATGCAGCGGTGCTGTAAGGTGATCTAATTCTGGTAGTTATTATATAAATGGTGAAACAACAACAGCTTTGATCATTCAAATGCAGCCATTTAATATCGATAAGTGACTAAATAATATTCTTGAAGTACCTAACAGATAGAATTTGGTGAGCATCCTTTTATATTATTTATCCAACACTATATTTATTTTTTTAATAATGTCTATCACTACCTCAGCCTTGCATGAAATAAACAATAAAATAAATTGCGAATCTGACAACAATATACCATCTAGAACATTATCATCATTAACTGTAAACAAATCTTATCCTATTAAGAATATTTCAAGTATTCAATCAAAGTTTGGGCAATGCCTAGTAGCAACCCTTCTTGATTCTGATTCTGACCAGTTTAGGGTTTGACTACCTAAAAGAGTGTTGGAAAACATGCCCGAAATTATGATTAAAGACATAAATGAGTCCCTAAACAAATATTCTTTAGCGTATAAGTTATGGTATTCTGATAACATTAACATCATCCAAGTCCCAACGAGTATAATACCGTTCTATACTCGTGAGACAGGATGTGAAGCTTGCATTTTCACCCGACACATTTCTGGAAAATTGTTATCTTGAGATATAAAACCGGTCGTCGACCATTCTCTGTACTCATTTCGTTACTTAATCCCCTGTAACCAACTGTTGCTGATGCATTAATAAAAGTTCATCTACAAAAGTACTGACAAATTTATTTGGCGCTGCGAACAGGATACCCAGCCTTCATCGAGTAAGTGTGACTTAGTCAGAAATCACGAAGATTCATTGAGAAGCCAGCTGAACTTGAAGGTAAAAGTTTTCAAACTTTTGCAATTGGGTATCGCTACTGAAACCTGTGAACGAGCTCCGAGGCCGGTAAGACCTCTCAAGTTCCTGTTTCAACTTCATCCTAGTGGCCGGTAAGACCACGCAAGTTCCAGTACCTTTGTGGAGACAACTTTTGCATCCAGAACAGCCGGAAAACAGAACGAATGGGTCCCTTGACGACATCGATGCTGATCACGTCATTGTAAGTAGTTTAAGAAACTTATTAAGAATAAGAAGATTTTTATTGAAGAAATTAAAGAAGAAAGAAGATTTTTCAATTAATTGATATTGTACAAGGAAGAGATAAAATTTGGAAAACAAGACGAATTATTTGTAAAAATATTTGATTTTGCTACATCTTTGATTGCTAGTTTTAAGATTGTATTTTTATGCCTCTTGTTAGACGATTTACTAGAGAGAGTTCATACTCCCCTTACACTTATCCACATTTAAGTTCTAGTTCTAGTGATTCTTCTCTTGAACCAGATATTTCAAATTCTGAAATCACAATGGCACAACCAAATGGTAATGAACGTTACAGAATGCTTGAACTACGATTCAGGAGTCTCAAAGACTCTCTGCCAAAATTTTCTCCTAACCAAAGTAATTTGTCTACCTTTATACGAGAAAGTGAGTTGTTCATTTCAAAATTTCAAAACACAGAATTCGAAGAGCCTGCTGTCGAATTGGTCATGTTAAATATTCGAGATCAAGCTCTTGAAAAGGTCAGAAATCACGGTGCCACTTCATGGGTCGAAGCTCGTGATGTTCTTGTTAGAAATTATAAGAATACTAAAAATGAAACAGTCTTATCAAATGAAATGACTATGTTAAAGCGTAGCAACAACGAAACTTACCGTCAATTTTATGAACAAATTTTAGATAAATTGAAAGAAATGAATGAATGCATAAGTCTTACTCATTCAGAGCGAGCAATTAAGTCCGTCCTTATTGAACGTAACGAAAGTTTAGCTCTTTCCTCATTCATATTAGGTGTCAAAAATCCTTATTCAGATCGCCTCAGATCCATCAGACCTTCATCTTTACAAGATGCTTTGCAAATTTGTGAAGAAGAGGACAATGCATTGACTATAATTCGTGCTAAAGATTCCTCTACATTTTCTAGTAACACTAATTTCCATACCCCAAAACCCAGCACATCTTTTCATAGACCTAATGTCCCTCATGCTAATCACTCTAATCTAAGACCCCCCTATCGACAAAACTTTGCTCGTCCCAATAACAATTTTTCACAACAAAACTTTCAGAGGAATCCTTTTCCTCAACAATTTCCTAGACCACAATTCGGTCAACAAAATCAATTCCCTAGACCGCAATTTAATCAGCCTAATCAATCTCTCTCAAGAAATCCTAATGCTCTTTACAAGCCTATTCCTATGTCTACTTCTACTATTCAAAGCAAGAATCCCCAAGAACGTCCATTTGTACGGCCAAATTTCTTTTCAAATAACGGCCAACGTCCAAATTTTATTGCCGAAGAATTAACTAATAACGAATTCCAAGACCCCCAGAAAAGTTCAGATTACTATGACCCCAACTACGGATATTCCGATTCCTCCAATTATGATTATTTCGAATATGATCATTCGAATGTAGAACAGCAAATCCCTAATGAAAACGAAAATTTTCAACAGGACAGCCCCTCAACGTCCCCAGAATAGATTTGAATCATTATCAAGAAGTCCACTTGCCCTACATTTATAATGACATTTTAGACTTGCTCATTTTAATTGATACAGGTGCTTCCGCTTCATTAATGAATCCTCAAATTGCTTATTCAAAATTTCCTGACTACGTTTTTCCAACTTTTCAATCAAAACTGCTATCGATACGAAAAATGGTACGCACGCTTGTAGAATCCCTCTTTTTAACGATTTAGGTATCCCCATTGAGGTAGAATTTCTTTTATTACCCTGGCATCAGAAATACGACTGTCTTCTAGGATATCATGATCTACAAAAATTCCATAGTACTTTCGATATCCCTCATAATTTGCTTTCTATCGAACGTTTTGAGATCCTATGCCACACGCATCGAGATCCTCAACGGATCCCAAACCAAATTTTCGATACTATTCTTACAGAAATTCAAGATTCATCTGCAATTGTATTTCCCATGAAATATGTTGATTCTAATTCTTACACCCCAAGTTATGTTTGTCCCATTGTAAAGAATAGAATTCTTTATCCAGAAAATCTACAGTATGTTGAATGTAACAACATGCAGTATGAACCCCTTTCAGAGTATGAAATTACTGAACTTTCGGAATCTATCAGATTCAATGAAATGTCTCAATTAATTCGTACCAGTCACATGAATCGTGAAGAGAAATCGAAGATCATTAATCTTTGTTCTCGATATCCCCAAGCTTTTCTCAAGCCTAATGAAAAGTTAGAAGCCTGTAAAGCTACCAAACACTTTATCCGCACGTCTACTGACGAACCAATTTTCGTAAAGTCTTTTCGATATCCTTATCATCTAAAGAAAGAAATTCAGAAACAAGTTTCCAAACTTCTCCACGATTATGTTATTCGTCCTAGCACATCCCCTTATTCTTCTCCTGTTTGGATTGTCCCGAAAAAAGCCGATGCTTCAGGTATTAAGAAATACCGTATGGTAATTGATTTCCGTAAGTTGAATGATATTACTATTGAGGATAAATATCCCTTACCCCGT